GAAATTTTTATTTATTTTTCAAACAACAGAAATTTCAAAATTTTAATTTAAAAAACTGTTCTACAAATTGAAAGACAATTAATTTTTAACATACTTTTACTGCAGCGCCATCACGTTACATAAATGAGAACTTTAAAATGTTCTATTGTAACTGTTATATTAAGACTGGTGGTAAATTATCAAAACATTTTCTTTGTTATACTAACAAAATTTTATACAAGAAAAATAAGAGAAGTTATTAAAGAGAAAATTGGATATAGTGTTATACAAATTACGATAAGAATTTAAAACACGATATTATTGAAATGTTTATTTTCGATATCGCTCTCGCCTCTCTTTATTAAATAATGTATATGTGTGTAGTATTACAAAAACATTTTAACATAATTAAATGAAGGTGATTAATAAATTGAGAGAATCAATAAATGCTTAAGAAAGAAAAAACGTTTTGCTTATATTTATGTCAACTGTTTTAAAAAAGTGTGGTCAACTATATAAAATGAAAAAAAAAAATTAAATGCAGCTAATTAATTAACATAATTTGGCGACAAATTTAATAATAATAATTATTTAAGCATAAAAACAAACATTAAAAATTATTTAATAAATTTAAAATATGCATAGATCTTTTCTCCTAAGTTTGTCATTGTAAATTTATTAACAGAATGCAAATTTTTATCATTTGTCTGCCTTGACTAAACAAAAGTTTCAATTACTCTACTAAATTTAACGACAATTATCGAATAAAAGTAAGAATATCTGAGAAAAATCATAATTTTAACAAATTTTAATATTTGTTTTGAAATGAACGCAGTGGGACGGTATATTTTAAATACACTCCAGTCCAAAATGACGTATGAAATTGTTTATATCGAAAATGAGTATTCCCTCATATTAAAACTTTAATGACAACAGGTATTGAATTTTTTAAAAAAGCAATACCTGAAATCTATTCTAACCCTAAAAAATTCAAGTTGCTAATAAAGGTCGAGAACTAAAAATCGAATTTTTCATTTAATTCTGAATCATTCAACAAAATCACAATTAGATCCAACAGTTTGCATAATATTGTATAATCCTTTAATATATATCTGATATATTTTATGATATTAAAGTATAAGAATTATTGAAAAAGTATTTAACTTTTAATAAAAAAAAAACACAACATTAAGTGTGAAGAATCCAATTTAAATTTTATTGAAATATTCAACTTTCGACATTTAAACATAAAGTACAAAAATGCTAAAAATGTGTAAAAGCTTCACAAAAATATATAAAATTTATATAAATAAAATTTATATTAAATCTTTATTAATCCTATACAGGTTTATTTGAATGAACTTTAACCATTGCTACAAAGTATTTTTTAAATATTAAAAAAAAAATGTTTTTATGACTAATAAAGATTTTAATAGTCGGCTTAAGTATAGATGTAAGAAAAAAGTATTAGAGTAAAAAAAAAAACTGATTTTACGATATTAGATCGATTTGAAACTTTCTTAATAACACGAAATTTTACGAAGTGTAAACACAGCACGCGATGTTCACCCCTTTTCCTTTCTATTATATTTCATTTCCCGATATTATCAAATAATATCAAACGGAAATACAAAATAAAACGTAGAATTCAACAATAAAAATGAGGAACAGTGAAAACCAATTCTGTCAAATGCAAAAATTGGACAGAAAATAAATACAAAGAATTCTGATAAAATATTAATGGTGCATGATGAATATTAGGCGGTATATTAAAACTGAAACAAATTGTGGAACAAATTATGGAACACTAAACTATCTGTTTAAATCACAATGATGGGGATTTTCCGACAGTTACTTACAAAATCAGGAGTTTAATTTTAATATACAGTCAAACATTCTTTTTATAATGTTGCAGAGTGGAAATTATAAAATTTTCAAAATATTCAATCACGTATAATTATTATTACATTTGTATATTTTAAATATGTAAAATATACATACGTTGTATCTACATAACTAATTATAAACCAGTAGTACGTATAACAAATTATAAATCACATATTAAAAGCTTTCTCTACAGTAGATTAACTACAACTTTATTGACTTTATCATCGTCATATGAACCAATAATAATAAAATACTTAATATATTAATTGATCATATTCACTTTATTTTCTTAAAAAAAAAATAATCACGTTTAATAACCGGTTGTTAGATGAACTTGAATTTTCGATTAATACAAAAAATAACGTAAAAATTGAATTAAAGTAAATGAAGTATACAAAAAAAAAATTAATATTAATAATATCCGACTGCAAAACCTGGAAATTCAAAAATTTTGAAAGAAAAGAACGTAAATAAAATCAACAACCTTCATAAATCTAAACTTTGTTTTCAGATTCAAAACAAGTGAGTGATTTTTATAATTACATTTTAAAATTGAATATTTGTTTATAACAGTTTTTAGAAAATAAACTTTTTAGTAAAATTCTCATTTAGAAAAAAAATTATTCATGCAAATGTATTGTTGTATGACACAAACAAGTGTGTTTTATAAAACTTCCATATTGGTTTATGAGAAAAACTACCATTTATTTCCATTAAAAACTACCAGAAACTCGTATTTTAAAAAGAAATTCGTATTTTTAACTGTATTCGTAACATCAAAAAGAAATCTTACCTGCCCGAGTTTCTTGTTTGAGCCTAGTTTCCCGAATATTCTTAATTGTTATTACTAATTATTTGACATTTCTTAAACATGCTTCATTTCTCTATACATAAAAAATAATGTATATTCAAAATTTAGTTCACCTTATTCCCGCCGATGGACATATGCATGTATATCCGTGACAGAAATGAATTCCACTTAAAATTATATATCCAACCTTTATATCGTCGGTTAAAAATCAGAAAGCACTAAGTGCATTTTTTGAGAATTCGGATTTCATAGATGAATTAAATCAGAATAATATAATCTTTGTTGTTGCAAAAAATCATGCAAATCCAGAATGTAGTTTATAAATCCAGAAATTAAAGAGACCAATCCCATTGCACTAATTAATTAGTTTTACAATTTTACGATTTTTTTCAAATTCAATTTACTCAAAACACAGTTTCCTGACTTAATGCTTTCTGCTTTTTAACCGACGATATTTGGATAAAACGAAGCAATAATTTCAACTTTAGAATAATATTAATTGTTTCTGAACCTTTCAAGTTCTTCAATGGAAAAATGTGATTAATAATAGTATTATCCAAAATTCCATTTTTGCTACCTACTACTACATAAAAAATATCCTACAACGTGGCAATATGGAGTTAAATATTTTCTTATTTTTTTAGGAAATATTCTTTACACCATAGACAAATTAAAACTACGTACTTCATACTTCTTTCTTATTGATAGTAAAGGTAATTTTTTTGATCAATTTAAAGGTCTGCAAAACAAAAAACAAAAAAATACATTTGCTATTAAACTTGTACTATAATTTTTTTCCCTTGTTTTTTTTTATTATTTGAAGGACAACTTCTTTATTTAACGATACAAAAAAAAAATCAAAAACAATTAACTATCTATTTGTCTACATTCTATACTTATGTACTATAGCTCTTAAAACACAATCTATACAATTAAATTTAAAAAAAAAAAAGTTGAAATTGTGACGTAATAACAATTTTTTAAATCATTTATTATTTATATAATATTAATATTTTAGGTCTTAACTCATTCACCCTTTAAGTTAAAACAAAAAAAAAAACAGCTGTTTACTACTACTATTAAATCTAGTATAAGAAAAAATTGTAACACTTGAAAATTTTTGTTACAAATTACAATAAAGTAAAAAAAAAAAATGAGAGCAAACAACTGAGATTTGGTTGTTTACTCAAAATGAATGCTCACTGCTCAAAACATTTTAAAGAGACAACCGGAAATTATTAAACAAATGATACTTTCAAAATAAAAATACACACATACGTATTTACTTTGAGAAATTACATATTTCCGCTAAGACTACAATGTATTATATTTTGCTCCGAAATTAATTTTTTGCCATGGTTTATTTTAAATTCTATAGCAACAGTTTATTTTATAACTTTCATTAAAACGTAACTTCATTAAAATATTGAGCCAGAATGATAATGGCAATTCTTACGCCGAAGGAGTGTAAATGTTGAGCACAATACGTAAATGTAAGATTTTTATAAAAATTTAAAAACAATCTCTCGTAATTGTTTATGAAAAGTTTAATTAATATGGAAAATTAATATACAACTAATTTTACTCCACTTTACCACTAAACGAAGTCTGATAATGTTGCCGCTATTTCGTAACGTAATCTATATATTGTTGTCTTTTGCATTCTTTTTATAAATAAAGAGAGAACATATATACTACCAAGCCTAACTGCCATACTTCAATAATATTAAGAGAAAAATTTACTTTTGAGAAAAATTTGACTTTCTCAAAATAAATAAAAATACGTAAACTTTAAGTATTTTATATTTTTATCAATTTAATTCAATTGTAGTAGTAGTATAGTAGTATTTAAAGAAATCCTCTCATTTTATATCACATTATATTTTCTTTTCTGGAAAAATATACACGCGTATATCGAGAAAAAAAATATAACAATATAATTAATGATTAAAAGTAAAATAAAATTAAATGAAAAACAAAAAATCTTTTAAAATTTAATTTTAGTCTTAAATTTTACTTGTAACAGTATTGTCGATGATAAAAAATATTTTAAGAGACTGCCACAAAAAAAAAATTTAATTTTAATAATCTTTTAAAATTTATCTTTCTTCGGCTGAACTAGTGGCGATTCGGTAACAAAATAAGTGCAGTGAAAATAAAATTTTCAATGTAAATATATCAATGAGTGTAAGCACATAAATACACGTTCTTAAAATAAATACAAAAGAAATTCTACCTACATTTCCTTATTTTGTAATTTTTGTTTTACGTTATAAAATTTTGACATTTCATTAAAATTTTTTTTTACCTTTACTTTTTATAGAAATTTTTTGTTTATGTTTTTTTTTTTCTTGAAATTATAAATATTGTTATTGTTGTACTCCCCTATAAACTTGTCAAGAGTGAAAATAAAAAAATAAGAGTAGAAAAAAAAATAAACATTTTAATACTACACGCTGCTTCTGCTTATGACAATAGTAGATGGAAATTATTGCAGAGCAGCTGGAGAATTTTATCGATTTTCAAAATACATATTATACGTATGTGTATAATGTAGCTAACATATAAAGTAAAGTAAAGTAAAAAATAAATTAAAATCAAATTCTCAGGTTCGTTGATTTTCACATATCGTTGCAGACGGTCAGAATAAAAATTATTCAACAAAGTGAAAAAAAATAAAAATATATGAAAAAACACTCAACTGTAAAAAAAAAAGTGTTAGTTACAAAAATAAATAAATAATAAAAAGCGATATACTAAATTGTACATATACATACATACGAGTATATAATAAAATAAGAACTTAATAATTAAAAAATAAAATATACAAAAACAAAAACAAGAGAAAATGAAAAAGTTATTTTTGTAAATGACAGTAATATTGCTTTACAATTAAACGTCATTATCGCAGTGAAATCAAAAAAAATTTATTATTTATGTGCTTGCTTGCTTACTCAATTAAATTGAACTTAAAAAAGAAAATTATTAAAAAAAATCAAATTGATATTTTTCTAAAAAAAATAATTAACAAAATTTTATAACACAAAAAATTATTCTAATTTTGTAATCTAGTACCTTATCTAAAGTTTGTACTCATGTATGACAGTTAATTAGAATCGTTTTCTGCTTTTTTTTATGTATTTTTAATATCAAAGTTAATTTTTTTCAAAATTTTTCCTTTTCTTTTTTTTTTAAACTTTCTCGATTAGATAGGAGAACAGATATAGAAATACATTATGTAGGGGTACATGTATAACAATTAGTGATATTTATTGTATATTATTATTTATTTGAAATATAATTAATTATATAGTACATATGTACATACTTTATAGTACACTCATTGTACTATATAATATTCATTGATAATGTTATACAAATAGAAGTACACTAATATGGGTACCAAAATATATATATATATATATATATATATATATATATATATATATAATTGCTATAAATCTATATCTACTACTTATTTTCTATTAAAATATAATCTGTTATTGCTATTATTATTATGATGTTTACAACCGGAAAATTTTTAATTACAAAATAATATTTATTAATAATCTATACGGTACGCTTTACCTACATATATGTATATATAATTATACTCGCATAATAATATTAATTTCCTATTTTTTTTTTTTCTTTAATAATATCAAAAGTGTTATAAAGTTCAAATCATATATAAAATGTTTCGATTATTTTTACACATGTAAAATACTCATAATTATCATTTGAATTTGAATGGTTGTGTAGACCTCTTCACATTTTATTGAGTATTATTAATTAAAAAAACTAATTAATAAAAGTAATTATAAATATTATTTTATGAAAATATTATTTATTGATTATTTAAATTTTATGTCTATAATATTTTATATTGTAGAAAATAAAGTATATATTTTATTTTCATATTACTAGTAAGAACAATCTTCAAGAATCTGAACATAATTAATAGTGTTTAAACAAAACAATCAAAGTAATTTACTCGTACTAAAAAGAACAACCAATTGAAAGTGATAAAAGTGTTAAATTTTAAAACAATTAAAATATTAAATTATAAATGAATAATTTAATGCCAAAGTACTCTTGATAGAATAGAATACAAAAAATAAATAAAAAAACATTTACTCAAAATATAAAGTACTTAAATTTGTTTAAGAATTGTGTAATCACAATAAGAACAATATTTCATAAAGTATTTACTAATAATATAATAACAATAATAAAAAGTAATAACAAAAGTATAAAATTAATATTCTTAAACACAACAGTATAACAATAATTTCGACAACGAAAATTTATTTAAATTATTATTGAATTACATAAGTATTATACTTAAATTGAAAGAATATTTTTTATTTTTCTATAAGTATAACAAAAAAATATTCAAAATAGAGATCCAAAATCTATATAAACAAAATTGTTTACCAAAAAAAAAGAGAACAGGCGAATGTACTCATAATTTTTATCTAAAAAATATAAGGATCTTTTTTTCTTATGTATAACACAAAAATGTGAATTTTATATTTACTTGACAAGGAACGAAAGGAGAACAAGAAAAAAACATCATTAACAAATAATATTCTCACATAATAACAATTATTATTTTGGAATATTTACATAAAAAACCAAAAATATACAATTGTACTTAAAGTATTGATATACACACTTGGGTACATACATACATTCTTTTAAGAATATTTTTAATATTTAGTGGAAAATTATTAAGCAAAAAAACAGAAAAAGAAAGAACGCACCGTTGTATGTAAACATTTAAAACATATTTATACAAAAAAAAAGGAATATTAAAAAAAAAAATAGGTAAGTATAAGTGTTATAAATGTATACGCATATATAATATAAATAATAATTATAAAAAATATTTTATGTACAGGGTTTCATAGAAAAATAAAAAAATAATATTGCATTGTAATCAATATTGAAAGTGATGACACTGTAAGTGTATAAAGCACATGTATAAAATTTCACAATAAATAAAACAGATGATTTTATTTTTAATGATTTTTCAAAATTACAACAATGTAAATTCTCTTGTAAACTATTTATAAATAAGTATATGAATACTGTTATACTGTTAATGCATATAAACTCCTATGTACATACTTCTTCATCTTATATATTTAAAATTACACAGCTTAAATATTTTATAAGATTTTAATAATATAAACAACTTCATATATTTTCAAGGGAAATTGTAATATTTTATTTGAAAAAACATTAAATTAGTATATGAAATTTAATTGTGGTATATTGAAAAGAAAATTAAATATTTTCAAATTTTCAAATAAAATGTCATTTCAAAAACATATAATACATTTTCGACATACATATATTTAAAATGCATGTGTATGTAAATATGTGTCTATATTTCCGCTAAAACTCTTATAATTTTTGATTAATAGGCAAAATAATTCTTACTTAATTTTGCTTAGTACGCAACAGGATTTCTACCAATACTAACTGAATTGATGCTCTCAATATAGTATGTATAAACAAGCAAAGAGATTTTCTTCTTCGCAACTAAGATTTTTTCAAAACAAAAATAAGATTAAATTGCATATATTCAGACTTTTTAAAAAATTACATTCTTTTTCATATATTCAATTAAACGTATATGCATGTTTTATATCAAATATTTTTCCAAGAACTTTTCTATAATATTATTTTTTATTTTCCTTATAGGTATTTTAAAGTTTATTCTAAATTTTGCTATAAGTATATATATATAGGTATATGTATATTATTTGTATAACAACAGCGTATGCGTATTTTTATAAATATGCATCATAAACCCACATACATATTATAATTTCACTCTTTTAATCAAATTCAAAATAATAATAATGCCGTCATCACACTATACACAACACAATAGTTTGTATTATTAGTTTTCGCAGTGAACACCCTACGTCTTTAATAAGAATTATAACTCATATACCTTAAGTATAACCATAATAACAATATTTTTAATTATATATTTTACGTATATGTATATATCGAAGAATATACAAACAATATACATATAATTTATTTTTCAACAAAAAAAAAACCGCCTTTCCTATATTTATAATAATTACTATATATACAATTTATTATTGTTTTATATTTTTAGTTCAAGTGGACATGTTGATATTACATACTTAAAATCACAGCATATTATATATTTTCTATATAAGTATATAAATATATTCATTTACGTATATAAATAAAACTAAATATTATAAATACGGAAATACGAACTTATTATATATAAAATATATTGTGAGTTTATGGAAAACAAAAAAAAAAATTAAGAAGAAATATTATAAAGCAAAGAAATAAAAGAGAAAGGAACGGAAAAAAAAATCCAAAATGAAATAAAATCTTGTGAATGACTCAACTCAACTGAAAAGAAACTGAAAATTTTATTGACAAAAATATTATGTACACATGTAGGTACATATTTGTAATTCATTTTGAATATACCTTAAAACACCTTATATTTATATAAACATTGAAATATTCACCTACATACATACGTACGAGTTTAACAACAATATATTAAAAATACAGTGAAAGTATAAAATATATGATTTATAAATAATAAGTTGGATTTCAAGAATTTTTTGGTGTTTTTACATACATACATATACATTAATGGAAATTCCTTAAAGAATATAAAATATAAAAATTATATGTACACAATAAGCAATATAATATAACAGTTCAATAAATAATACAAAAGTAAATATCAAAAACAAAATAAAGAATAATTATCAACATTTCTGGAGATTTTTACCATTAATTTAAATATAAAAGAATAAAAATATATATATATATATATATATACATACATATGTACTATATATATGTCATAATAAATTATAAATCAACAACAGAAAGTAGAACAAAATATTAAAATTAAATTGGATTTTTCGTTTTAGTCATTCAACTCAACAGTATACAAATAATATTGTAACTAAAAAAAAACGAATACATGCCTATATGCTACCGATATACTAATATTATTTAAAAAAAAAAAAATACATAAATTATATCTTGGATTTTTTTTTTTTTTTTTTTTTATAAAAAATAACAATTTTATTTTTCAATATAAAAAAAAAAAATTTAGAGAAAATTAAAAATAGAAGACCGATACAAAACGAAAAGGGAAGAACATAAAGTATTTTGTTTATTTTTTATATTTTAATTCTTGCATAGAAGCACAACATAAGAAAAACAAAATTATTATTTAAAAACTCGATTTGGATCAATAAAATAAAGGTAGGTTGAAAATAAAGATTTTTTTTTATAAATATTTTTTTTAATATATAAAACATAAAAATTATTACATAATGTATATAAATGTATGTACGTATTTAGATGACACATTTGAATCACAGACGAATTTGACCAAGTCAAAAAAAAAAAAAAAAATAGGTTGGTTAATATTAGTATAAAGTCTACTAATTAATTTTGATAACTAATAATAATATTAGCTCAATATATACAGTGGAACTTCTTTGTCTCGAACTCTCTCAATCTCGGAAAATAGTTCAAAACAGAGAAAAATTTAAGTGAGAAAAACTAAAATATGTGCATATAAAATTTACATATAGAATTTTGTTTACTTAGCAATTTGAATAGATATTTCAAATTGCTAAGTAAACAAAAATAAATAACTCAAGTTAAATTAAAGTTCGTCATATGGAGAGCACGAGATAGAAAAATTTTACTGTGAATTTAAATAAATTAAAATATTAAAAATATAAGATGTAAAAGTACTTATATTTTAAATTATATAGTTGGAATTTTATTGTTTGTCAGAATATTAACCAAATCGTTTTAACATAATATATGAGATTGTTGACCAAATCCACAATCCATTTAAATAACATTTATTACAAACAATATAGCTGACTAATAAAGTAGATTTTAATTGAAATGAAATACATTTTATTTGAAATTTCGGCTATATATTTATAAAAATAGCTGAAGACAGACTATTGAGCTTAACAGACTGAAAATAAGCTTTCATAACACAGGAAAGAAATTCAATTGATCTCTCCATTTTAATTCACCAATATCGATTTTTGTTACAGGGTCTTCAAATTTTTTCAATTTAAATTACGCTATAAAATATAGCAAATTGTATTGAGACTGCTTTTTTTCTAAATAAAAAAACTAATTTTTTGAGTGAAAACACTGTTTGTTGAATCAAAAACAAAAAAACTTCAAGATTTGAATTTTACTCAAATATAAAAATATATAAACCTTATCCTATTAAATTTTATTTTCATAAAATTACTGTCTATAAATTAATTAAAATTGTTTCTCTATTTTACAAACTCTTCCTTTCAAATATTATTTTAATCTAAATTAAATTAATATAATTTACAAAAAAAAAAATTGGTAAGAATTTTAAAAATGTAGTCTATACACAAAACTTAATATTTACTCAATTAAAAACACTTGCGACAATATAACCCAACTAATATTATTTATCTTTAAATCATTGACTAGAAACATTTATGTAATTTAATATATCTATACATAGGTATATATGAACAATATTAGAATAAAATACAATATATATTTTTAATCGTATATTAACTACATTAAAAAAAATGTATACAGACTTAAAATTTTTAGCTCTAATGCTAATATTATGCCTATATATTAAAAAAAAAAAATCTAAGAAGTAACCAAAAAATTAAAATTATTTAGAAAATTAGTATATGTAGTTGAATTTAAATCTAATTATGGCTAAGAATTTCTTATTTAAATTGAGGTAAGAATAAATTAACTAGATTTTATTTACAATATTATACGAAATTACTATATAAAGGAAAATTCTATTTAATGACATGAAATAAAATTAAAAAACAGATAGTAAAATCAAATATATATTAATATATATATATATATATAACAATATAATTCCAAAAAAAAAATAACACTATATAGTTGTATAATAAATTATAAATTTATATTTGTTTTTTTTTAACATAATTTATTTTAAATAGACTGTATTTGGGAGACCACAATATGTATACACATTAAAAAATTTATGATTAAAATGAAAAAATAATAGAAAATAATTTCAATATTTTATTCGATTTTTTGATATTAAATTATAATTCTTTATGCTATCTGAAATCTTTAAAATAAATATTTATTTGTAATTATTTTTATACAGTAGAATCAAAATATATGTGATCCTAACAATGGAAATTACACAAGAAATTAAAATTATTATAAAATAATAATTACCAAAAAAAAAGTTTAATATGAACAATTAAACTGATAAAAGAAATATTTAAATTACTTAAAATTAATCAAAGATATTAAAATATTACGTAAGATAAATGCTTTCAAAAATAATATTTCTACGGTAATTTGTTTTAAAAATTAGAGTAGATTGAATTTTAATGAGAATATCACAATTAAAATTTTCACAATATTTTACTTTAAGCTAAACATATATACATATATACATATAAGTTATAATATTTTATGATTATAGTATACATATAATTATATAATTAATTAATAATAATTGCTCAAAATTCAAATTATTAAAAAATTTCTCAGTTTGTCTATAATATTACGAATAACAGTTTCTACTAACTACTCGTATATATAAGAATATATTAATAATACATAATTTAAAGTTATAAGTATATTGTGCGGCAAATCCGTATTTGTTATACTATTTTGAAGTGTAGGTGTAAGACAAAACTAAATTTTCAAAATAATTGCGTTAATAATTTGTGATCTTTGCGAAAAAAAAAAGAAAGAAAACTAACACAAAAGTATGTTCACGCTTAATTAATGCATTTTTCTATATTTTAATAATAAAAAAAAAATAAACAATACAATCAACGCCTCCATTAATTTCATCTTACCATCTAGACGTTTTGATAACAAAAACTATATTCAAACTTTTGATTACACAGAAAATTTAAATAACAATTCTTAATTGTGCTAAATTTAAATTAGAAGTTGCTACATGATGTGAATTTCTACCAAAAAATTTCTTCAACATTTTTGTTTATTAAATATACATAAGTATTTATTAATTATTAAATATATGTACTCGTATATGGAGTAAGTTTCGCTGTAAAATTTTTGAACGTTTTATAACTCAAAATTTCTTATAATTTTTGTATTCTGAATTTATTGATTTATAGCAATCTAATTAATATTACTTAGCTGATAGACATTTTGGCATTGATTTCAAATATATCTTCACTTTTTCTTTATAAATTTTTCGCTAGCTTTTAATGTTATTGACTTCGAATTTTTTCTTTTTTTCATTTTTGACCGTGATAATCAACAAAACATGATATGATTTAATAATAAATTAAAAAAAGTACCTATACATAATCGTTTTTTATAATTTCATGTCAAATTTAAATTCATCCCGTATAATATTTAGTTAGGTTATAACGTAAATGAAAACTTTTCATAAAAAAACAAAAAAAATAACTTGACTTAAAATATTAAAACACTTATAAATCTTAACTATTTTAATTTCTAAATTTATTTACAACAAAAAGCTTTTAAAAAGCACAAAATTTTAATTTCTTTTAAAACAAATTCAATCGACGTTAGAAAGTAAAGCAGTCAAGATCAAAATTCCGATATAAAACCATAAAATGAAGTTGAATTTTTTAAGAACGTAAGATGATGATCATTGTGTTTATTTATAAATTTATATATAAATTATTTAAAATGCTGATATTTTTATATAAATGTTGAAATTTGTTACTAACAGACTTGGTTAATAGCAATTAATTTATTCAAAACAAAACACGTACATACATACATACATAGTTAAATTTTGTTGTTAAATATTTTGTAATTTAGAATTTTTATCAAAAAAAAATTTCTTTTAGGAAAAAATCAAACATGAAGTCAGCAAAACATGTACATAAAAATGACAATACCACAGATGGTCAACAAGCACCATCATCAATACGTCGATTATCAATTGAACGTCACGGTAGCCCTGGTACATCAACATCAAATTATAGTAATACACAAATACTTGATGATGATGATGATTTTCAAGATGCTGTTGATATTGATGCACCACAATTTGAAATGGATTTAGATACGGCATTAGAAGAAGCAAAATTAGCTATTAATTATTTTTTTAATAATAAATTTGATGATGCAAGAAATTTAATGCAACCATGGGCAAATACATCAATGTATCATTCAATTGGTGCATGTGTATTTGCATTTCTTGAAGCAATATTAACATTTGAACAACAGCATATACAAGAAGCATCTGAATCATTAAAACGTTGTTTAAGTGTATGTAATCGTTATAGAAGAAAAAATACAATAACAGAATCATTAGGTAAAACATTCCGTAGACCAAATTATGATCAATATACAGAAACCGAAGTACATGCTGAATTATGTTCAGCTGAAGCATTATTATTAAAAGCTATGTTAACATTTATTGAAGATGAAACTTTAAGTAGTTTAATTAAAGGTGGTATGAAAATAAGAAATTGTTTTAATAGTTATAAAGAATGTGCTGTTATATTAAATCAAAGAAAATGGTCATCAGATAGTTCAAAAGCACATTTTGAAAGTGGTGTACGTATGGGAATTGGTTCATTTAATTTAATGATATCATTATTACCAGGTCGTGTTATTAAATTATTAGAATTTATTGGTTTTTCTGGTAATAAACAAGTTGGTTTACAAGATTTAATTGCTGGTTATAATTTACCTGGTATACGACAAGTATTATGTGTCATGCAATTATTAGGTTATCATTTAATTGTTTGTTTCGTATTAAGTCATCAAGAAGGCGATTTAGATTTCTGTGATGAAATATTAACAAAACAATTAAGAACTTATCCAGAAGGTGCATGGTTCTTATTTTTTAAAGGAAGATTAGAATTTATGAAAGGAAATTTAGATGAATCAATTAAATGGTATAAAAAATCATGGCGATCACAAAATGTTTGGCCACAATTTCATCATTTATGTTTTTGGGAATTATTATGGGTTAATTGTTTAAAATTAGATTGGAGAGAATCAAGTTTATATGCTGGTTTTTTAGTTGAAGGTTAATAATTTATATTTATATATTTATTTAAATTTTAATAAATTACAAATATTTAATTATATTTTTAGGTAGCAGATGGTCACGTACAATATATTCATACCAAAAAGCAGCAGTTTTATTAATGTTACAACCCAACGAATTAAGTGATTTAGATCGTAAGACTATAGATTTATTAATGAAAGATGCACCAGGTTATAAACAAAGAATTGCTGGTAAATCATTACCAATGGAAAAATTTATATGTAAAAAATGTGATCGATTTTTTGCCCAAAAAAGAAATTTAGTATTACCTGCTATTGAATTAATGTATTTATGGAATATATTTAAAGTTGCCGGAAAACATTTTCATATTGCTGATGGTATTTTAAGAATAATTGATAAAAAATTGAATGAATTACTTGAAAAAAATAAGAAAGAACCTTATGACGTTGACAATAAAGCATTAACATTATTATTAAAAGGTGCATGCTTACGTTATATGAAAAGTCCATTACAAGCAATTAAATGTTTAGAACAAGTAATAGCATTTAAATCAGAAATTAAAGAAGATACATATTTAATACCATATGCAATTGTTGAAATTGGTTTAATATATGCTGAACAAGGTCAAAAAGATAATGCTATAGCTTGTATGGAAGATGTTAAAAAAAATTATACAGGATATTCATTAGAATCAAGATTACATTTTCGAATACATGCAGCTTTAACAGATCTTAAAGGCAAAACTAATGAATATATAAATCCATTACAAGATTAAAATCTTCTTTCATTTATTTTATGTACAAAATATACATTAATAAATATTTAATACGGCTTTATTGTAAATTAAATATATATATATATATATATTTTATATTTAAATATATATATTACTATATCTATATAAAATTAATATTATTAATGTTATCGCCTTTTTGAAATATGTATGGAAAATAATAATTAAAGCAAAACGTTTTGGAATAAAAAATCATAAATAAATATGATTGTAATTTATATTTTAATAAGAAAAAAATGTAAATAAGTAATCGTAAATTGTAATTGTTAAAAATGTAAAATTTTCACTACAAAAACTGAAATATTTTGTTACTTAATTATGTATTTTTAAAATTTCAATTTTTATTTTATTTTATTCTCATGTTTTATGAGAAATTTTTTGTTTTATTTTTTTTAGGATTGTTTTGGGTTATTTTTTGTTTTTCGTTCAACTATCTAAAGGTTAATAAAAAAAAATAAAATATATTCAAAATCAAAAACAAAATTTAAAAAAAAAAATAAAGAAAAAAATTAATCACTTTTGAATTTTAGTAATTTACTCTCTTTTATTTATAAGTCCAGACGGAAATTGCAATGAAGTTTAAAATTGTTGCAAATTTAGAGCACCCAGAAATTTACTAAACGTTGCAATGATATTTTGATATACAATAAGGGAAGCAATGACATAATGTTTCAAGGGATCAAATTTAACAGTAGATTTTCTATCTACTCTTTAATTTGGGAGTGAAAATTCAACACAAACAAGTCTTTAAAAACAAAATTTAGTAAAAATTAAAATAACAAAACTTTCAACAAAGTTGTTTATAAAAATATATGCGTTACGACAATTTATGCTGCAATCTTGAAAATAAATTAATAGATTTTGCAAATGATTTGCAATAGAAACACTGTAGAAAAGTGCCATTTGTTCTGAACTTGATGTTTAAATGAGACAATTTAATTTTATAAACATCATATGCTCACCTCTTGCTCACTGACAATTCCTATCTATTTACCCAGTAATGAATTTTTAAAATCAAATCTTCAATTAATTCTATACCTAACCATATTTGCATATACATACATGATTAATTTTAAAAGTATTAGTTGTATTATAACAGTGATATATGAGATGAACAGTTCATGAGAATTGTAACCTTATGTCCTTATCATAAGGGCGCATATATTGAAAAGAATCAGAGATCATCTAAATAAATCCATGTTATTAAATTTTTTTAGTATATTTTTGTACAAACATTTTATTTTCTTGTATGGCTCATTCTTCGTAAGAACAAAATGATCGCCATATAAACATGGCACACAATTAACAGGTACTGTCAATATCCTTAAATATTTTGACAAAAAGGAATTCAAAATCTTTGAATTTCTATTTAATGAAATTTATTTAAGTCTATGTTTGAATAAAGCATGGCTTATTTTGTTTTATTTTTTTGTTTTCGAATCGAAATACATATATTGTTTTTATTAATCATAACATTAACTTTGGAACTTTTTTCTAATTTTTGCAGAAGGTCCAATGGCACATGATCAACCCACATATGCTAGTGTACCAGGCATACGAGTTTTTGGAATGATGTGTGTTAAACCTGGTTATTCAGTTCGTAAACCATCTGTACAACCACCAAAACGTTATCAACTTCAAAAACCATATTATATTCCCAATACACAAAATAAATATGGTATAATTAAAGATAATAGACCATCACCATCAGCATCATCATCAGGTGGCTATCAGCAACAATCACCAATTCATGATAGCTATCAACTTCAACATCAAGCAAATTATCAATATTTAAATAGACCAGAAAGTTCACCAATTATTGGATCCGGTTCCAATACACATAAAGATTATTCAGATATACAAATAAATCATTTTAGTCCTGGCAGTGGTTCTGGATCCGTATACGGACGTAATAATGAACGAAAAACTAATTCAATTGTTGCTGAAGATTCAAGTGATATAACAGAAAGTGATCAAGATACTATTGAAAATAGTACTGGAAGTGGTACAGAAAATCAAGAAGAAAAAATATTATCATTAAGGGAAAAACGTTCAATACCTATTAATGATATAGATAATTTAATGGAAAGTGATGAATTAATACCAGAATTCCCATGGGATAAAGTCATGGAATTTCAATCATCACTAGTATGGGAGGAATAAAAGAATATAATACTTCTAATATAAATATTTAAATAAATAAATAAAAATTAATTTGATAAAAGAAAAAAATCTATTAAAAAACACATAAATAAGTAAACAAATAAATAAATAATATTATATTTTAATTTAAATTTTAAGTTTAAAATTAAATGCATTTCTGTTTTATATTGGGACTGATAATTTATTATAAAAATGATGTGGATTTCAAGGAAAAAGCTATCAACTATTTAAAATCTTTTATTTCGGGATATAAAAATATATTTATACTTCTTTTACTTTATTAGTTTTTTTTTTAGAATTTTAAATTTTTAAACATAATTATTTATAAATATATTACATTTAATAAACATAAGAATACCATAAACAAGAAATGGAAATTTGCAAAAATAAACTGACAAAAAATTGTCTGTCGCATTAATTAACGTTATGAACTAAAACAATATTTACAGTCAAATTTTTGACTCATTTGTAATTTGTAATTAAATAATAAGATTTAATACTATTTAATTTATTATTAAAAAAATAAAAAGTAAAATTTAATACATATTTAAATTATTTTAGATAGAATTTAGAATATAAAAAATTTTGCGCGCGCGAATTTTTTATTTATTTTTATTTTAATTTTATTAAAAAATGAATTTATAATTATTATATATTTTTTTATTTAGTTATAACTTTAAGTCCAGTTTATTTCCCTAAAAAATTTCATACAAAAAGAAAAAAAGAAAACTTATATATTTTAAACTACACTCATTTATTTATTTTACTTGATATTTTAAGATGCATTTATTAGAAATAATATTAATATAAATTATTTTAAATAAAGAAATAAATAAAACAATCACAATAATTTTTAATTTTAATTACAATTGGAAATTTTTGAAATAAGTCATTTACTTTGTAAATGAGCCATCAATATCAAATAAGATTCGAAAAAAAGCCGTTCCGTTCTCATTTGTACTTAAAATAGAGATGAACCTTAGCATAAGATCAGAAATAACCATACGATCTACGACATTTGAATCAAAACGTTCATTTTTAAAAATTTGCAATAAAATTTTTAAACAAAAAACTGGAGATTTGTATAAAAATTTAGTATAGTGTAGAAATGCACTTACTCAAATTCAATAAAAATTAATATAAATATGAAATGTTATTTAAAATTCACTTAATAAAATTACTTATTTACGTCATTCGAAATTTATTTAAGATACTAGTTTAACATTTCACTTACCTTGAACATCAGCATTCACAACTATATTGCAACTATACATAGGTGTTACTAAACGTTGAGGTTGAAACTGGAATGCTTTTTTACAGCCCTCCTTAACAGCAGACATTATTTGTCCTAAAATATTATTTATCAGTGTTGTATTATGCTATTATGCACATATACATATGATAAAAAACATACATGATGCAAGCAATTAAATAAACATACCCGAAAATGGTCCAAAAGTTTTAGAATTAAAATCGGTTTCTGGATCAATTTTCCAATCTAAAATCAAAAAACAAACTCCTGTCATTGGTTCTTCACATAAAGGACCTGCTGCTGTAGCCAATTGAAACCCATTTATAAATGAATAATCGAAATCCTTACGGACATCCTCTTGATTGGATTTACTAATAGAAATGCTTGGGTTCCAAAAATTTGAATGTATGTAATCGCTCAAGTTTAATAAAATATTTGTTCCAATCTTTTTAGGACCAACTGACCAGATTTTATTCACTAAATTACTTTTATCATGTGGTAAATTGATTTTAAAGTCGATTAATGCTGTTTGCAAGGAGTTTTTAACCTGATTTATTATCAGAATTTGTTTATCTGATAAAGTATTAAATTTTGTAACAGCTAGTAGAATCTATAATAACGAAATTTACAAATTTTTAAAATTAAAATGATAAAAAGAAATTATCTTTTTTTACTTTAAAAATATCAACGTTTGCTTCCAATATTTCGGTAACTTTTTGAGGCATTGGTAAAGCTAACATAGCAATTGAACACGATTTATTTGCAGTTTGAATGTTGATAATTTTTTTTGAAATATCTTCCTTTTCTGTTTTTAAAATCATTTCATTAACCATATCAACCGTAGCTTCGGGTACAATAGTTTCTCTAAATGAAACAATTGGCTTGGAAACATTCAGTTTTATTTTAGCGTAACTCTCTTCCAAATCTCTGACACATTTTTCTAAATGAACTTCACCCAAAGTTGCTATAACGTGTTCTCCTGTTTCTTGTAGGGATACTTGTACACATGCATCGGATTGATTAAGCAATTTTAAGCCCTTCAACAATTTCGGCATTTCCAAAGGATTAACAGGCTCAATCGCAACACGAAGAATGGGTTTTGCCATCTGATTCATTTCACTAAAAGAGGGACAATAAATACTGCTACTTAGAGTTGCAGATTTTACAACTGCATTTTCTAGACCACCGATTCCTGCGCCAAATATTGAAGGAATTAATTCAACGGAAATTTGAAAACTATGAAATATTACCTATTATATTTCCTGCTGGAACTTCTTCAAGGCTCTCAAGATCACCACCCATAAATAGATATAAATCACCCACAACAATCTGTTCAACATATGGGAAATCAATTTGCTCGGCATTTTCTTCTAAAATTTTTGGATTGTGTTTTGGCGATAAAGCAAAAAGTTTCATTCCTTTTTTAATAGTTCCACTAAATACTCGCGCAAATGCAATAAATACATGATCGTTTTTATCGTCTAGTGTTTCTTTTTGTGATTCGACTTCTGTGTTATTTTTTGAATCATCAGTCGCCAACGTTTCAATTCCTTTTTCAATACTTTGCAAATCAGCATTTTCTTGCGTTGCTTGCTGTTGCTTCCTTTCTAATATTTTTTGCCTAGCAATTTCTCTTCTCTTGTCTAATTCTTCTTGGGTTAGCCTTTTAGGTTTATTCTCCGGCAATTTTGATTTTTCCACTGCTACCATCTAAAAAATTTTCCACAAAATGAATTACGTACAAATATTTAAAAAAAAAAGTTAAAATTTAATAATCCAAGCCTACTTTAGCACTATATTTAATTTTAAATAAATTAATTTTAAATTAAAGTGGCGTGGCTTCTAATTCTAACTGAACACAATTGAAAACGGGAATTTTTAAAAATGTAGCTAGGCTATGAATATCCCGTTTTTTTTTTTATTTTAATAAAAAGAAAAGGATTCGCGAATGACGTCATTTATGAACATATATCTATCTTTTTCAGGCCACCAATCGAAGTATGAATTTTCGTGCTAAAATAGAAATAGCGAGTCCGATGTTAAAAACACAATCACGTAAACTACTTTTATTTCCCTAAATTTTCATAAGATTCAATATCTTTTTCAACTTACGCGCCCTTTTATAGCACACAGGACATTTTATTTGAATTCGTAGTATAAAAAATTTCGATTTCTTTTCCAAAAATTCTCATTTCGATTTCTTTTCCAAAAAATTTTACTGATGTTATACTAAAGTTTTCGAAAATAAATTTTTAAGATCAAATAAATATCCAAAACTCAATTTAAAGATACTTTTCAGAAATAGAATTTAATTTACATACCTTGGAAATAAAAGCAATAACTGTTTCACTTTTTGGATTACAGTTGACAAAATGTTTTTTTAATTCTTGTGTTTGAATAGGGAAACTTTTAAAATCGTAACTACTCGAACAAAGAAGTTGTTCCGAACGTTCTTCATCAATGCATTTTGGTGATGGAATGTTATCAACAACTATTTTTAAAACTGAAGTATCAATTGGTAACCATTGCTGAAATAAAATTTTTAATTGAGCTCTTGGTTCCGTTAAGCGTAAATCTCTAGCTTGCAATTTAACCCCAAGTTTTTCTGCTACACCAGGTAGTTTTTCTTTATCTTTTCTTATTATTATAATATCATAAAGATTCCAAAGGTTTTCAAAAATAAATTGAACAAACATTGGTTTTTTTGCTTTTTCTTGGGCTCCCAAAACAGAACATTTCTTCTTTGCATTATAAAAATAATCTCCCCATAATGCTTTTTCCAACTCTTTCGGTTCAATATTTAAACGTTGCGAGTACATTTTAGCAAAATCATCGATTGTAAAGGCCCAACCATCTAAAGCTGAACAGAACACAACATTTTTGTTCTCTGGCGAAAAATACAATTTCGAATCATCAACTTCATCTAAGGCTGAAACATAATTCTTATCCTAAAATTATTTTTATAATTTTCAACACTTTTTCTAGATTGATAAATTATTACCAAAGTAGTTTGTTCTTTTGATAAAATATCAGAAGCAAATATATTTCCAAATGCTGCATTAACCTGTTCTAATACTTGAGTAATATGAACATACGCGTCTAAAGGTGACATTTGCTTTTCCAATATAAGCCTATCAATTTTATTTAACAATAATACTGGTTTTAGTTTCTCAGTATAAACCTGTTGTAAGCAAGCTCTAGTTTGTGGACAAACTCCTTCAAGAACATCAACCTAAAATTAATTTATCTTAACAGATAAATAACATATAAAACCACTGTCATTACAATTATTATAGCTCCATCGCATAATCTAACTGCTGTTGATACTTCATTACAAAAATCTATGTGCCCAGGAGAGTCAATTAAGTTTATTAGGTATTCGTCACTATTAGGAAAGTTTTGATAATAAAGAGAAATACTACTGCTTTTCATTGTTATCCCACGTTCTTGCTCATCTGGACGGTTATCCAGATATCGAAGTTTTCCAGCCATTCTTTGAGAAATAATTCCTTGTAGATGAAAATAAATGTTAAAAAATTTCTTCAAATTGTGAAATCGTATTAATGAATTTAGTTTAATTTACCATTACTAGCTACTAAAGAATCAGCCAAAGTGGTTTTGCCATGATCGACATGGGCTAATATACAAATATTACGAACTTTTGATATTTCATTTTGTAATTCAATCAACTTTTTCAATTCAACAAAAGGCATTTTTCTATTAAAATTATTTTCCAATAATTATTCTTAAAAAAACTTTACATGTACTATAAGCGCTATGAATCAACACGTGTTGACAGCGTTAAATCATAACATAAAATGTTTTATTTACAAAACAATCATCAGCTGGTTAGTTCCCATAAAACCTTTCTCTTCTTTATTTTAACCCAATAAACATAATATCTTTCAAGGAAGTAAATTCTAATTCGGTTTTAATTTATATGAGCAAAGAGATTTATAAAAACTGGTAAAGCTTATATGAAACTAATATTAAAAATTTTATTATATTATGTTAACATTCTTATTAAGTTGAATGAAAGCATACTCCTATATTTTATTTATTGAATGATTAAGATACATAGTGTTAAATAATGCAAAAATATTTGTTTAAAAATCCACTCAAATTCCCTAAACGTTGGCAATTTATAAAACAGAATCATAACAAGAAAACTAGATGACTTTGTTGACGTAAATTCCTTCAAAATTGCAAAGTGGTGAAAGGTAAACGTGTTTTGCAATTTTTGTAGCATTTGTGAAATTTTTTTAATTGGTTTCACAAGGATTTTTTAGTAGTTATATTACTAGGAAAATAAACTTTTGCTTAGAGGAAATTTTGAAAATTATCTAAAAATATGGCACAAATTTCACCTGAAGTTAAAAAATCAATTATCACTAGGAACTTGCAAGAAGTTCTAGGAGATGATAAAATGACATCAATACTAAAAGAAAGAGATTTAAGAATATATTGGGGAACAGCCACAACCGGCAAACCTCATGTAGCATACTTTGTTCCTATGTCGAAAATAGCGGATTTTTTGAAAGCTGGTTGTGAGGTAAGAAATCGATAAAATTTTATTAAAGTAATATTTACCTAACCTTGTACATGTATTAGGTTACAATATTATTCGCTGATCTACATGCATACTTAGATAATATGAAAGCACCATGGTCTCTACTAGAACTTAGAACAAAATATTATGAAGCAGTAATTAAAGCAATGTTAACATCTATTGGTGTTCCGTTAGATAAATTAAAGTAAGCCAAGAAAACTGTTTTTAAGAAATGATAAAATACACCTAAATATTTTAGATTTGTACAGGGAACTCAATATCAACTCTCTAAAGAATATACTTTAGATGTCTATAAACTTAGTTCGGTGGTCACCCAGCATGATGCCAAAAAAGCTGGAGCTGAAGTTGTTAAACAAGTGGAGTATCCATTATTATCAGGTTTACTATATCCCGGACTCCAAGCGCTTGATGAGGAATATCTTAAATGCGATGCACAGTTCGGTGGTGTCGATCAAAGAAAAATTTTCACTTTTGCTGAAAAATATTTGCCAGCACTTGGCTATGAAAAAAGAATTCATTTGATGAACCCAATGGGTAAGTAAATAGAAAACTAGAATTTTTGTTTTGAATAAGAAATCAATATCAATATTCTCGATAGTTCCTGGATTAGCTGGAGGAAAAATGTCTTCTTCGGAAGAAGACTCAAAAATTGATTTGTTAGATACCCCAGCAGCTGTTAAAAAGAAATTAAAAAGAGCTTTCTGTGAACCAGGAAATATTCAAGACAATGGACTACTATCTTTCGTAAAACACGTTTTATTTTCATTATTTAAAGAGGGTGAAGGTTTCCAAATTTCTCGAAAGCCAGAAAATGGCGGAGATTTATGTTTTAACACTTATGATGATCTGGAAAAAGCATTTGCAGAACAAAGTTTACATCCTGGGGATTTGAAAAGTGCTGTTGAATTCTATATAAACAAATTATTGGAACCAATCAGAAAAGAGTTCGAAAACCCAGAATTAAAGTAATTATTAAAAATTTTTAAAATTGTAGTTAATTGAGAAATGCTTCTTTTCTTCTTAAGAAAACTAAGCGAAGCAGCTTATCCATCTGGAAAAACAAATGGTTTAGCAAAACAAAAATCTAATACGCCTGCGGATGTTGAAGATGGACCCCATAGATTAGATATCCGCGTAGGAAAAGTTGTTGAAGCGAAAAAACATCCGGATGCAGATACGCTCTATGCCCTACAAATTGATGTAGGTGAACCAGTTCCAAGAAGTGTTGTCAGTGGTTTAGCAAATTTTGTTCCCTTAGAAAGCATGCAAGATCGTTTAGTAGCCGTTTTATGCAATCTAAAGCCGTCCAAAATGCGGGGTATTGAATCCAAAGGAATGGTTTTATGTACATCAAAGTATGTAACTTTCGTAAAAGAAAAACGTTGAAATTAAGAATTAGGTAAATGTGAAAATTTTTTACAGTACTGAGCATACAGAAGTGGAGCCAATTTTAGTTCCAGAAGATTGTTCGGCTGGGGAAAAAATTACTGTCGAAGGATATTCAGGGAATCCAGATGAACAATTAAACCCAAAGAAAAAAGTAAGTATATACCTTCAGAATTGGAATTCTAAAAATAAAAAAAAAACAAAAATATGGTGTTTATTGCTGAAACTTTTTTTTTACATAATAGATCTGGGAAAAATTACAAGCAGACCTAAAAACGAATTCAGATGGTGAAGCTGTTTGGAAAGACAACTTTTTATTAACACCGAATGGGCAAAAAATCTTAAGTAGATTAGCGAACTGTTCAATAAAATAAGTGCTTTGAATTATACTATTTTTTTTTTTTTTGTATTTATTAAAATTTAAAATATTGTTTTGTGATTTATCTGTTTTAAAATTTAAAAGCAAATTGCACATTATACATATATAAATGTTACTTTGTAAATTTTTATAACATTCGTGAAACAGCTTCGATAAATAAATTAAAACGCCCGATAAGATTTTTTTCCTTTAAAATTTATTACATTCTCTAAATCACACCATATGCTGAAATCACACCATGGCTGAACTATAAGGAGAGCAAACTTTTTGTTTCTATTGACTGATAAGGAATAACCATCGAACCAGAGATAACAGAGAGAATTTTTCAACAAATATTTTGTTAAAATATAAAAAAAAATTAAACATTAAAACAAGTATAAAAGAATAAGAAAATTTAAGCACTTCCAAAAAATCAAAAAAAATTTCTTGTGGAACATTAAACTTTTCCTCAAAAACAATTCTTCGGTTTATGAAGTGTAAAACATATTTTGTTGCATTTATAAATGCATATCTTATATTTTATATATTGTTACATCTTTAATTAGTTTTCATAAAATTATTGTAATTAATAGACCCTAATCTACAACTGCATGCGTAGTTTCTTAATTGCGTTTGCTGCAACTAAAATTTTAAAAATATTCTTTTGTCATTTTTGTTTTCTTAAAAACTCTAACGTTATATGTAAATATAAGCGTATTTAAACTTTCTCGATGGTAATTTAAAATTAAAATTTTAATTGGTGCCAATTAACCGAAAACAAAATTTTGTAAAACTGATTTAAAAATGAAAAATTTTAATTTTCTTATTTATTCAATTAAAAAAGTAATAAACAAAAGAGAATTATTCAATTTATTATAGTTAATTTCTTCACATAAAATTGAATTATCAAGCGTAAAAGAATAAATTATTTTAATTGTATAATAACAAAAAAATATTGTAATTGCTTTTTAATTCCATTGTTTTCATTATGAAATCATAAAACATATATAGCTCTGTACATAATTATTTATGGTTATTAAGGCATTTTAAAGTTGTAATTTTTTTATTTTACATTTTCATAGGATGAAATTTAAATTGAATTACCTACGCAACGTTATTCATACAAAAAATACTTTTTCAATTCAATATTTTATGAATTAATATTAAAAATAAAAATAATCTACCGCAAGCTACTGGTAGCACATAATTTATACAAATATTAACATTTTTTATAGGAAAACAGTACAAACAAACGATTCCTTTAAGTAAATAAAATTATATTTAATAAATCATTTTATTAATATTTTTAATATAATCAATTCAACTGAATTACTTGTTTTCAATTACATTACATAATATTAATAATAATATTAATTTTCTAATTTATAATAAATATAAGAAAAATTAAAACTATTAGTATAATTAGAGAACTTTTTGTTGTATTTGAATTATTTCTTGGTTGGCAAACTCTTCTAACATGATCAGTTGTTAAACCACGTCTTCTTAATAATTTATATGTACTATCCAAATCCTATACCATAATTAAGGAAAAGTAAAAAAAAATTAATCAGAAAATTATTATTTTATCTTCATTTTAATTCTCTTACATCAAATGGTAATGGTTGTAAATTCCTTGTTAAAATTATTGAAAAAAAGCTTTCTCCCAATTTTAATCCACAAAATGTTAAAACTAACTGATCTTTAACTGCCTTTACAACTATAATAAAAAATACCTATTGTTAAATAATTGTGGTATGTATTTTAATTTTCCAAATTGAAATCATTACAAACCTTGTATTGTTCCATTAAATTGATTATATTTTAAAGCTGGTGAAAATCCTTTTTGTTTATCAACTGTTACCCAAAATCCTGGTGTTGCCCGATTAAATTGTAATGCATATTCAATAATTGTTGTTTCGGAATCATAATAACCTCTTTCCTCCCATGTTAATTCCAATAATAAAATTTCATCATTTATACTTGAAATTTTTTTATTTGCAAAATTTGCAAATCGAACCTTAATAGAAAAATTATAAATATAAGTAAATAATTAAAAGTTTTTATTCATATTAATAAAATTATGGAATATTTACATTATAAATTGTGATTTCAGCGCACGTATCATAATAGTAAACACCAGGATCTGTTGAAAACCCAGCATGCTCTATAATATCATTTCCATACCATTTTCCTAATATCTTAAAATAAAAAAAGATGAATTAGAATTACAATAACTGAAATTATATCGAAATTAACGATTTAAGATTCTATTAACTTATGATTAACTTTTACAGTTAATTATAATTTGATTTCTTTAACATAATTACAAATTGCAATGTTGATTTTTAGTTGCGATCAAGCAGTTATAAATTGACATTCCGAAATGCAATATTCTTCTTGAAACTGAGTATTTCGCATTCAGGTGGTTTCAAGCAGAGCATTCAAGATGTAAATTTCAAACTAATTTACTATTACAATTAAATTTGAAATATTTTGGAATTTTATTTTTAAATTTTATTAATTTTAATAAGAAATATTTGCAAATTTTTTCTTTAAAATAGCTATATTTCTGTGATATATACACCTGAATCACTAATACAATCTAATAATAGTGGAAATTTTATTAAAAACAATTTAAATTACTCCATATACACATACATTTTTTATATATCAAATTTATACAGAACTATGCAAAATACCCATGACATATAGATTTATTTCCAATGTAAATGCAAACAATGAAAACTAAATTTAATTATAACACAAGTATACAATCTTATAAGGTTTAAATTAAAATAATTTTGAAAAGCTCATAAGAAAAAAAAATACATAATAAGTTTTTTCATTTATCAATTAAAAAAGATCTCATCTTTTATACACCAATAATAGAATAAATAATAGATTCACTTTACAACAAGATTTTTAATAATTGCAAAAATTGTAGCAAGTAAAAAAAAAAGAAAATTTTGTAATTCAATTAAATCACTTATTACAAAAGTAACTACACAACAAATTTTATTCTACTGCCTACATTAATTTGAAAAGAAGAATAGAAATTCGATAGAAATTAAAAACAAATTGTATTTTATTTATCGGAACCAATAATTTTAAATTTTCGTTCATAATACAAACCATTACTGCAACTTTGCATGTTTATTTTATTTACCGCATTACTACAATTTTGAAACCAGGGAAACTAGAATTCATTGAATAAAGTTAAGGTGATACAATAATACTGAAAATCTGATATCACGATTCAAATTTAAAGAAAAGACCTTTTTGCAAGAAATTTATTAAATTAGATCGGAAACGATTGGTCGATCTCAGCATTTTGAAATATATTAAAATTCCTTAAAATCCGACACAAGTATGAGTACACACAATACTGTAGCAGACATAATATTGTAGTATAAATACCTCTCAAAATTGCATCAATTTGATATCTTATATACAATGCAACAATCAAATGTGTTAGTAACTCTAAACAATAAAATGTTTTTGATCAGGGTTTACAATATTAAATTTGACTTATGAAAGTTTAATGAGTGTGCGTTTAACAGCATCAATCCATTTTATGCTTAAGTACTATGTTATGTTACATGAAATTTGTAAATGGGATAACACTAAAAATTCAATTCTAAGCAACATTATACGAAATATAACGTAATAGTTAATTAATTAATTATCCAATATCCCGCCTCTGTCAAGAATTTTTTTTTTCTTTTCTTTATAAATAGAAAATTTATTGGAAGAATGTTTTTTTGAAGTTATGCTTAATTAATTTTTGATGTCATTTCGAGTATTTTCACAACTTATTATGTACTTATATACATACATACATGTATTTGGACGTATCTTATATGTAATAATTTATATACATGATCTGCTATGTAATATTATGTGAGTGTTATTAAAGAATTAAGCATACATAAATATTCTTCAATAATAAACAAGTTATAAAAATATTGCAATGTTAAATAATTAACGTATTACTTAATAATTATATTGAGAATACTTTGAATTATTATAATAAAAAAAATAAATATTATGCATTAAAAAACCTACTCGCGTATAATTTCCTATTACTATTGCTCGCATAAAATCTTTAAATTAATTATTATAATTCCAAGGTTTTTTTTCTTGTTAAAAGAAATGATATTATAAATATATTATTTTTTTTTTATATATCTATAGTAAATGATTAAAATTTTTTTAAATTTACGTAAATTATTCAAAAGATTATTTCAAAATTGGATAATTAAAAATTGTCCCTTTCAATTATTTCAAATGCTACATATGACTACATATGACTACATAACTTAAGTAAGTAAAAAAACATATATATACAGGGTCGTTCAATAAAGCGTATACAATATCTATATATCTATCATCTATATAGGATTAATATAATCATTTATAGGATTGTACAGTAGATGTAGCGAAAAAAACCCATTTGTATTTCACTATTGTAAAGAAAAATATATAGCTTTAATATTTTTGATTTTTATTGATTTTAAGGTCTATAATTATCTTAAGAAACTGGGCAACATTCTGTAAAATAAGTAAACGAAATAAGTGAGAGTTAGAGAAAACTAAATGACTAAAAAAAAATTCCAAAAACTTGATTTTTTCTAAAATTTGAATAGTTTTTATTCTGAAATTTCATAAAATATAAAATCAAACAATATATTGAATACAAGCCCTTTACAGGCCCTTTGAAAAAGAAGTTGTTAAAAACTTCTATTTATTCGAGAGGGAATGTGTAAGTATATAAACTTAGGCAAGTTCCAGACAAAAATTTTACATATAATATTGTACATTTTAATGAATCAGTCTGATCTACAGCCCATTAAAATTAAGAAAACCAATTAATATAAACAATTTCGCTTTTTCAAAATTTATGAAATAAACTTGAATATCAGCATCTACCTATACAACAATTTATAAATTTTTATTGCGAATACATTTAAAATCTACTTATGTATTCAGAAAAAATATGTTAAAATTTTATTTTTCTAGTTTTCAGCTTTTCAAATTCTAACATACTAGACTATAATATTAGTATATATGTACAACCATTTGCATATATGCATATACATATGTATGTACAAGTGTAATATATTTTAGAATACTTATTTAAAAATTCAAAATTATAAAAATATTTTCAATATGTGCAATGCGCATAATATTCAATATAAAATTTTAATAAACAAATTTAATTACGCAATTATTAGCTAATTTAAAAATTATTTTTAAATAATGAAGATAATTTTATTTTTAGAAAAAAAAAACTCCCTAATTTATGCAATAATTAATATTTTATATACATAGTCACTCATTAATCCATAATATTTATGTTACTTACAAAAACAAATTCTTAATTAAAATAAAAATAATTAAAAATATTTTTAATTTTTTATAATATATGTAGGTAGGTACTAACTTTATCTATATCTAATCCTTTTTGTGGATTAACATTCATACAAAATTGTGATGGACGGCTTTCATATGCTGTTGATATTTTTAAAAAAATTAATATTACAAAATATATTAATAATTTCAACATATTTAATAAATAATTTTTTTTTTATTAATTAATTAAATAATATCAATAATAATAGTAATGAAATATTCTAAAAAAAAAATTTTAATTTAAATCTTATACGATAATTAATTTTTTTTCATTCCGTAATGTAGTATATTTTAAATATATTATTTTTCCAAATTATAAATTTAATTATTTTTTTTTTTCGAAAATTACAATATTATATTTAATTTAAAAAAAATTCTTATATTGTAGTTGAATTATTTGCTTTTTAATTTTATTCTAAATTTTTTTTTAATTAATTTAGTTTATTATTTTGTTATAATTATAATTTTCCACATGTAATTTAAATATTTTCTAATAATATTATTTTAATTATTATATAATATAGTATTTTTTAATTTTTCCGTATAATAATTTTAATCGTTTCGTTATCCGACGCAATATTTGTCCGATTTTTAAATTATGCGATCAAAATCTTTTATGTTATATTGTATTTGTTTAGAATTTTACAACCGTTCAGGATCACCAATTTTCACAAAATAACTGTAAATTATATTAGAAGAGTAAAATAAGAAAAAAAGATAGGTATATATGTACATGTTATTGTTATATTTAGTTCTAGTATTGGCTACAACATTAATCGAGTCAATTATAAAAAAGAAAATTCCAAAATAATAATAATAAAGAGAAAAAATATAATATACATTTATAGCCTATATGTATATTTGCTATCGTATATATAACTATAATAAGTATTTATACATAATTATATATAAAAATGTATACGCTTAGTCGTATATAGTAGTGAAAATTTACTGTAGTACAAATTATATGCCCGATTATATTGTTCAACAAAAAAAAAAAATTAATTAGGGTAGAACTTGGTGGAATTTTAAAATACAAGAGATTTCCTCGAACACTTTTTTTGTAAATTAAATTAAATATTATACAGTACATTCATAATATGTATACATAATATACTGTACATAAATAACATTACTTTTTAAAAGATCAGAAGGCACAATTACTGCGTATATGTAAAAAAATTTATTGTAACAATTTTTATTTTTTTTTTAAAAGGTTATTTTATTTTCATTGAACAACTTGTGAATTGGTTATGATAATAATAAAATATACTTATAAATATAGATATACAAACTGTTATACTCGTAATAATTATATACGTGTATTATAAGGCAAATTCATATACCCCATATTTTGACTACAAGTCTGGAATTTTATTCATCAACAACAAAATACAAAAAAAAAGGAAAATAAAATTTACTTGTGAATCATTCATGCTGTAAAATATTAATATTGTTGACGCGAAAATTTGTTATACACACAATTTCATTTTAAGTATTTAAATTTTATTTGTTTCATTGGTTAATGGGGTTCACAACAAATTGATCATAATATGCATTATTAGATTGAAAAAAAGGGGGGGTCTATATGAAGATCACTTATTATAACATTTATTTTTTAATAGATCATAGCATGTAAATATGTATGTATGTAAACTTATTAGTAAATGAATAAGTATGATGTGAACATACTCGTAATAAGAATAGTTGTATGTAATGTCAACTATATAAGTGTATGACTAAAATCAAAATAAGGAATTCAAAAATTTTAATAAAAAATATCAAAATTTATTTGTTGCTCTTTTTTTTTTTGGATAAGTATAACACAAAAAAAAAAAATTAAAATTTACTTCTTTAAGTAATTATAAGTATCTACTGTTATACAGCATATTTATGTATATAGTTAGCAGCATATTTAACATATAAACAACATATTATTAAATTAATTAAAATGATTTATGAACAAATTGGCCTTTTCTTAGAACACACTAAAAATTAGTGTCGATTCTAAAAAAAAAAGAGAAGGTATTCATAATACGCATGTATGCATGTATGTATATCCATCCACCTTAAGATATTCACCTTATAGATGCTAAACAAACTATTGTGTTCAGATATTGAGGGTTTTCGTCTATGCACGCTGCGTTGAAAGTTCTATATTAGAACTAAAATTTCTAAGTTACAGCATTAAACAGTATGCAAAAACTTTAGCTAAGTTTATTTTTGTTTACGCAGTCGACGAATTCGGACACTACTAAATAATGGGTCGTTCGAAAATAATAGAAATGACAATGTTCATGAAATTGTATCCCAATACTTTTCGCCTTCCAATTCATTGCAAAATAAGGAAATTTTAACAAGGTTTGAAAACTTAAAGAAAACTTACTTTAATAACCCTTCAATAGCTGAATCGGTCATTTTTGATTTTAAATTTTTTTTTCGAATTTTAAATTTACATTTCTAAATTTCTAACATTTTTTTATTGCGCATTGAATTTCAGTTCGCACTTTATTACAGGCAGTAATTTCTATATTTTCATTGTATGTAGCGTGAATTTTCGAACATACTACAAGCTAGAATTTAAAACATAATATTCTAGAACTGAATATACGAAAACCCTCATTAAAATTTGTATTTTAATAAAACAAATCGAAATTCATTCTGCATTTGGACAGTAATTCAAAAATTAATATAACTTATTTATGATATACAAAAGAAATATAAAATATTCGATAATGCATCTTTGTAGATGGTAGAGATGCGTCAACTTTAAAAAACCCCTGTATATCGTTATGCACTTGTTTAAAATAATTTTAAGAATTAAATAAATTGTATATATTTGTAAGTTGAATAAACAGGTAAAAAAATCAGTATTAGTTCAAATTGTTGAGTAAAGTAGGTACATTATAGATTAGTTTTCATTTAGGACCTATGTCAGGAGTTTGCCCTTTCATTCAAAATAAGTTCTTCGCAAATCTTCACTTTTGAACAATAAAATTACAATTATAAATTTATTGTGCAATAGTTATAAAATTTATTTTTTAGAATTTTTCTAAGTAAACACATTTTTTTTGTGGTAGCATAACACGTCTCTGGTCATACTGAATGCATTATTGTACATTATTCTTTTATTTACTTGCATATTAGTATTATTTTTTGTTTTGTCAAGAAAAGTTTATGACCCTTCACAGTTTTCTTCTCTTCAATTTTTATTGTTTTAATTTTATGACCTCCCTTATAAAACTTAAATATATACATACATACACAAATATAATACTTAATTACATATATTATTAATGTCGATGATACTCAATTTAAATCGTATCAGTAAATTAGTATACCCCATTTGAATACAGATAAAATACATGAGCACAGTATTGTAATAATTTTTAAAAATTAAAATTCTCATCCATTTCAAAAAAAAAATTTTTCAAGTTTAAGGCTTAAATTCTAATTAGATTAATAATTTTTAAATAATATACTGTATAATAACATGTGTATATACATATGTATACTGTTATCATTACTTAAAATTTTAAAATATATTAGGTATTTACATATGTTTATGCTATGTATACGATGAATACCACTATATTCAACATTTTTTTTTAAATTAATTTATTAAGATCAATGTAAAAGATCTTATGTATAAGATGTTATGTTTATAATTTTCTTAAGTAACCCAATGCTATTCTGAATTTGGTCATTATTTCAAATTTAATTTTTGTGGGTGGTTAATTACTGGGAACATTTTACAATATTTTCTATATTCAACTCAACATGTAGGTACCTACATTAACAAAAATAAATTAATTTATATTTTTAATTTAATTTATAATTAAGTTTTATTATTATTTTTGGCCATTACGTACCTACATATCTACAAATTTTGGTTGTCCTGCGGCAATAAGATAAAAATGCTTTCTTAGGCTTTGAGATATTATCCATATTCTGTTAGTTGCATCACTAACATGATAAAAGGCACTATCACGTCACCTACAATATGAGTTTTTGGTAATCGTATCTATAGAGAAGATACGGTAAAAATATTATTTAAAAAATTTTAGCTTATGCGTGAAATGATATTATTTCTGAGGTTTTAAACGCTTTGGAATCTCCAATGAACCTTCGGGTAAATCCAATGGATTTGATTTTTTATAGATATTTGTATTTTCTAACATTTGTATTTTCTTCGTCTTCATTAATATTATTGCGTGCTCTCATCACAATACAATAAGTCGGCACTCGATGAAAAAATATTTTCATTTATTTCATAAATTAAAAATGTTAAGATATCAATTAAGCATAAAATATTTAAAAAATTTTTTTAATTTTATAACTTATACTGTTCACTTTTTTTACTTTTTTAATAACTTCAAACGTGTTTTTTTTTTAAATCTCGATAGCAAAGATTTTTTGCTACCGAATAAAAATATTTGTGAACCTAATGACATTTCGACGAATACTTGAGTAAACTATTCGCTTCGAGTACACACAACTTCGCAAGCCATAATAATCCTATAAAATTTTGTTCTTATGCAAAACTCTGTTTTCGCACATATATATTATGTATGTAAGTTAAAATTTTTTAAATAATATTTTTACCAGTAATTAAAAGCAATTGAATCTTCTTTATTTTTGGTACTACGATCAATTTGATCTGTGCCATAGTTTTGCAGATATAGCTCATTAAAGTCAGAATTTTTCGTTTTTTATTTTTAAAAACTCGAAATTTCTCGAAAATTTATGTTATTTTTTTTCTTTTTTGGTTTTTTTTTTCGATGCGCCGCAAAGATCTAAAAGTTAACCCACATAACATTTTCTTCTATCTCTCCTAGTCAGTAAAACGTACAAATTTCATTTGACATTTCATACAAATATAACATTCACAAATACTTTTTTAGTTCAATTTGTATAATGAGGAATTTGTTATAAATTTTCCATAATCAAAATGTATTCACCTATATAAATACGTACAAATGTATATTTGTCATTTTTATTTTTCTTTGAAATCTAATTAACAAAAAAATGTTAAAAACGTAGCTAGAGAATAAATTAAACATAAGGTAAAATAAAATTTTGTTTTTTTTCTTTAATAAAGACGAATAGCTTATGAAATTGTTCTTCTTTACATATTGCATAAAATTGAATTTTCAGGCTAATCACCGACTCGATTTTGAAAATTTTATACGTAAAACGTAAGTTAAACTTTACGCGTATTACGACATCGCAAAATATTTTGATACTCTTTTGCTAAATAGTTGTGTAGTAGTTTACTGCAATAACATAAATTCAGCATGTCAAAAAGTTTTTTTTGTTAGTTGTCAAAAATATCCACAAGCGCCTAGCAGCAATTTAAATTTGTTTTTCAATTTCTCAAATTAAAACTAAACAATTAAAACATGGGGGGATGCAGATGCGTGTTTCGAGATTGTAAAAATACATCAGCGAATAATCCGCAAAGGCATTTCTTTCATTTTCCAGTAAAGTAGGTAAAGATGCTATGGAAAAGCAAATTTAAGTTATCAGCGTTATAAAATTTACAAAAAATTTTTATTTTCTCGATTTTAAAGTTGCGTTAATTTTTATTTGTTTGAATTTAGAGATCCAGAGAAGCTAAAGAAATGGATCAAATATGCAGACGCGGAAAATATTTTAAAACTCGACCAAAATAAAGTGGCAAACAAAGTTGTATGTAATGAACATTTTCGAGATGAATGTTTTATGAACTACAAAAAAAATAGAATAACCAAAATGGCAGTTCCGACACTAACAATTCTTTACGAAGATGATGAAGGTAAAGTAGCTTTGGACTACGAAACATCAGATTTTCCAGAGCCAAAAAGAATTCCTTTACCAACAGCTGCACATTTAATACCGCCAGTGGTTGGAAGAAGAGTTTCAAACAGTTTGAAACATAAACTAACTGAGGATGAACCTAAGATTATCAATTCAAAAATACAACTTCTGCAAAAGAATGTGGTGTGCTTCAATTTAAATAAAAATAAGGAAATTTCTGGTATTGAAATTGTAAAAACAGATACAGTAGAAAGCCAGAGCAAAGAAAACGTAGGTTGGGATAACTTTGATGTAGAAATCGAAAATTGCCTGTCTAAATTAACTAATGAAACATCAGATAATGAAAAAAAAATATCGGGTATGACCGAAGGAGTATTTTTAGCTGAAACCGTTGAAATTGAAAATAATGAGCATTATAGTATCAATAAAAGCGTAGAAGACAAGGACGATAGTATCAAAAGAATTGAAGTGCTAAAGAAAGAACTTGAATCTAATAAACTACTAATAAATGAACTCAAAGATTTTGTTGAAAAAATTCAAGCTGATTCCGAAACGGAAAATGAAGTCTTAAGAAAACAACTAGAACTAAAGGAGAGTGAAATAGTAAAGCTTAAAGGTCAAATATCAGCTCAAAATAAACCCAATAAAACATTAATTCCATTAACGAAAGAAAAACTCTTTCAATCGATCAAAAAATATGTATGCCCTTCGATGTCATCGTTAATACGTATGGAAATGTTCGGTAGCTCAGAACGAGAATGGGAAATAGATGAGAAAGAAAGGGCTAAGGAGCTTTTACAATTAGGTGAATCGGTTTTTTTTTACTTTAGAGATGAATGGCGATTTCGGTTGCCTCCACAAAAAGATGTTGAGAAGTGGCTGCTTGAAAATTGATTATCGAACTGTAATCTCGAAATTTTTTTCTGTTTGATTAATAATTTTAAATAAACAAAGCTTATTTTAAACAAAAATTACTATACGCCTTTTATTTATATTTAATTTTTTTTAATATTTTTTTTTTTTACAATTTGAAAAAAAAAAAAGAAAAACAAAACAGAAAATAAAAGTAAAACGTATGAGTCAAGTTACTTTATTTATTGTTTTGTTCTTAAAGATCAACAGGATCGTCTTGAGTAATGTCTCCGTATTCCCAAATTCCTTTATGAGCCTTTTTTGCTACTGTTTCAGCTTCTTTGTATTCGCTGAGTAAATCTTGAATTTTTCTTTCCCGACGTTTATCGACCATCAAATAACCGTCTTTTATTAGCTCTTTGCCAATGTCAACTTTTTGGGCGTTTTCCAAAGTAGCGTATGAAACGCCGGACGAAATAAATTCAACGTTGAGCATTAGTTTTTGATTAAGCACATCTTGGGCGAATACACGATACGCTTCTTCTTTATCTTCGGCTTCTGGTGGGAGTGCTACTAATGCAAGTGCATATTCAGTTGCATAGGGTTTATCGTTATTTAACGTAGAGGGTAGTGATGCAAGGCGAGCCAAAGGCACATTCTATACATTAAAAGAAAAAATTAACAATTGAAAAAATATTACAAAAAAAAAAGGTACAAAAATTACTTCTTTATTGCCATAATCAATGTAACGGATTAAGGCTTGACCACTTTGGAGTTTTTCAATTTTAGCGCGATACCACTCGTTGTCGTCACTAAATTTGGCTGCGCAAATATCATTTCGCTTTGGCGTAAAAGTACCGGACATTGGAGGATTTGTTTGAAATTCTTGTCTTAATTTGCTCATTAGATTTTCAAGTTTGGAGCCGTCCCGTGTATTTTGAGCATAGAAATGAATTTCGGGTGTAACTTCTGTTATAATTACAGATTCGCGATCAATTTTTCTCTCCACAACCGTATCTTCAGGCTCTTCCTTGTTCTTTTCTTCCGTCACTTCAACATAATCAGCCCAAATATTTTTTTTGGCTGCTTTTGCACGATCTTCTGCTTGTTTTAATGCACGATAATGCTCAGACTTTTCAGCACTAAAATGTACTTCTGCTAAGCCTTCTTCAACTAAAGCCACCGATAAATTGAGTTGATCAATCCAAAGCCAGCCAATAACACAAGTGCTAGCTTTATCAGTCGTATCAATATGAACGCTAACATCCCGTTGTAATATTTTATCTTTTGTAAACTCTAAAGCTTTATCCCCGTAAGGTTCCCCTTCTTGTGCTGGTACACCGTTCATTGCAGGACGTGATGATCGACGGCAAGATATACCCGCTAAGCAAAAAGTCACTAAACAACTGTCTTTAGGTATGTATAAACGGATACGTGAACCACTTGCAATAAATTCTACACTTGCTTCAGTACGAAGAGCACGTTGCCATGATGGAAGATATTGATGTTTAATACGTGAATGATCGGCAGTTAAATCGTTTATCCGATGAATTGGAATGTCTTTTTTAGCATGCAATCCGCATTGCGCTTTTTGTGCTTTATCTTCAGCCGCTTTCAGATCATCATATTTGGAAGAACGTTGATCGTCATCTGCTCGATATTTAACCACTGTTGCCAAACCCTTACTAACCATAGTTTCAGCAATGTTTTGGCCCCCTAATGTAACAGTGTAACAGTACTTTTCAGGGAAATTATCTCTTGCTGGTGAGATATAATCTAAAGTGCAGTTGACTTTTTTGCCGATTAATTTTTTTCGAAGGAACTCTCGAGCTTCAAACATCCAAGGAATATCATAGAGGGGACGGAAATTTTTGTTTCTTTGAGTTTTTTTTACTTCCCCATCCTCAACAGGTTTCCCTTGTTCCCTAGGTGGTCTTATACTTGAAAGATAAACTTTTTTAACTTGACCAGCTGCACTCTTTACAGAAATTGCATCGCCGTAAAAAACTTCAATAACAGTTCCTTGAAAATCTTTATCTTTCTCATGCTGTATTTGGTTGTTCGATTGATAGTTTGTCCATAATCGTAAACGTTTATCTTTTGCCTGTTTTTCAGCAGATCTTAATTTATCGGCACCTGTAATAATTTTGAATTCAATTTTATTATTTAATGATATTTTTATATAAAGTTTAAATATTTCTTTAATTTATACCAGAATTCGAAAATTGCATACTCCTATCAAAGCATTTTGCCAAACCTTCCCTTAACAAAGCTTCAGCAATGTTTCCTTTTGGGAACAAAATAGATCCAACAAAATTAGTGTTTGTGTTTGATTCTAATATAATCTCTACATCGCGATGTAATAATCTTGATTCAACAAAATAACGTGCTTCCTCAAAGTATTCAACTGCTTCTGGTTTACCACTTGCATCATATTTTGGTCCGGGTGAGCGAATGCCTGATATCATCAAAGTTATAAAATAATAAGTAGAATCAGGTAGTATTAAAAAGGCACGAATGGTTGAGCCATCTTTAACATGTTCTATTATAGCTTTTATAGGTTTTTTGTTGAAACTTTCAACAATTTGGCTATGGTTTTCTTGTGTCCATTTGATATTACGAACATGGTCAGAAGCTGGACTGTTACTATACATCCCACGATTAGCAGCTTTAGCTTCTTCTTCTAATTCTTGCAAACGCAAATATTCCGGTGCAGTTTTTGGAACATCGCGTCGAACGCTAACAAGACCAGCTTTGACGATTGATTCAGTGATATTTTCTTCACCCAAGAACACATTACCGTACTCACGCGCGCTATTTGCAATTTTTTCGCATGTAAATGTAACATCTTTTCCAATTAATTTTTCACGTAAAAACTCTCTCGCTTCCCATGCCCAAGGTTCGTCCTTTGTTTCTTCTCTGAAAAAAATAAATAAGTGTAATTAAGACTAGTATAAAATTGACGCTTGACCAAAATTTTAGTATTCCACAATATATTTACTTACCCGCCAGCACGGTTTTTTGCAAGTTTCGGGGCAGTTACAAATGATAAAGTAACTTGTTTTTCTGGTGGTGGTCCAGATTTTGGTTGCCCTCTTATAATGATAGTGTCCCCCGAAACAATCTAAAAGACAATATAAAATATATCAAATGTATTTCAAAATATTAATTTTATTAATATAAAAAAAATACTTAAACACATACATATAAAAATAAGCAAATATATAAACCAACTGCATTTACAGAAGGTATGTAGGTACCTATCTGCAAATCCGAAAAGTAAACTATAAAACAGATAAATTCGTCATTAAACAAATAAAGGTAGAATATGTATTATTCTATCATTCCAAATATTTGCTTAAAACAATATTATGTCTATGTGAATTTTAATTAGAACCAAACAATTTTCAATTTCTTAAAAATTATCGTATATGAAAAAAAGATAAAAAATATAATAACTATTTATTTCAATAATGTGTCAATAATAAAAAAAAAGTTCAAATTTCTAAAACACATTTATTGTTCGTCTTTTTCTAAAATGACAGAAATGTGAAAGTGCAAATGCCAACAGTGCCAACATGGCAATAGTAAAATTACATGTGGATTTGGTACCCACTTATCTTAAAATTTTTTTACACGATTTTATAAAAAACAAAACATAAAATTTTAAAATATAATTTTGCCTAGACGAATAGTAATGCAATTTTAAATCATTCAACTTACAAATTTAACGACACCTTTTCTTAGGACTGGAGCAGCAGTAGCATTAGTAGTTGCAGTTTGAGTAGCCATTATTTTAGCAGGTTTCAGGTATTATGTTTAAAAAAAAATCTATTTTTTTTTATAAATCCTTTAATTGTAAAGCAAAGTTCAGTTTTAACAGTAACTGAAACTCTACTTTTATAATAATTTGTTTTAAAAATAAAACATGAAAGACTGTAAAAAAAATACCTTTCTTCTCAAACCCAATATAGGGCTTTTAGTCAACACACGTCTTTAATTAAATCAAAAGTAAGCATCATTTCGTATAATTTCGGAGCAATAAATTTATGTTGCTTAAATATAAAATTATGTTGCTGTTCGTATGACAAATTGACTAATGACTATTCTGACATCAAATATTTACAGCGCCATTTGTGGTAATTTTTAAAACGATGAATTAAAATTCTCAAGTTACAAAAATATATTTTTTTTTTGTAGATATTTTTTTCTCAAGTTACATTGTTTAAAAATTGATTAAGAACTCGCGCGTTTTTCTCCGTCACGTATTATTTTGTCGGCTATAATTTATATTCTAGATTTGAACCAAACAAAAAACGAATAAAAGTATATTTTAAGAGACAATATTTAAGCAAATTTTTAAAAATTTTTATAAGTCATTAGATTCTTGACTTTATAGTTTATTACAACGATATTTGGACAAAAGTATGTATCTTTTCTCTTTAAATTCCTTATTTTAAATTTGTAAAATAAAAATAAACATATTAGAAATCAATTTCACATTAGCATTGCTTTAGTACGAAAACATCATCAAACAAAAGCGACACGACAGCGCTGTTGGAAATTGCGTGAATAATTTTGGGCGTTTTAGATTTTAACATCAGATCTGATTAAGATCTGTCAAAAAATATACTAGCGTTAGTTTTAAAATTAAAGCAAAGTCATACAAAATTAATTATACATATTTGCTTACCTAGCATTTACACGTACAAGTTACTTGCAAGAAAGTTGCAATACATACAAAAATTTTACTAACACATTGAAATATTTCTACTTGCTTGTTTACTTGCAGTTCAACTTGCAAGAAAATTTTGCTGCCAGTAATTTGAGCAAGTAATTTGACATATTGAGAAATTCACAAAAAAAAAATTTGTTGTTTTGATTTTTTTTTTTTTTTAATTTAAAATTTTTGAATTTTGTTTTGAAAAAATTAAACTTAGCAAACTTATGGTTTCTAAAATTTATAAACAATTATATATATTGCTAGTTGTTTTCTTCTCAAAGACATTTTCAAAAATTAACTTGCTAAACGCCTACGTCATAATAGCAAGTAATTTGACATTTCGAACAACTAATTGACAATTAATATTATACAAACTTGCATGCAAGTAACTTGTATGTGTAAATGCTGGGTTAGAGTGATTGAATCTGATCAGATTCAATGTTTGCGTTAAAAAATGAAAATGGTATCAATGCGTCACATCGTCATTTTTGACAAGTGTTTCTTTTTAGTTTAAAAATCATAATTTATTAATAAAAATTAAGAATACAGAAGAATAGTGATACTTCCTTTATTTTCAGTGCAGTTTTTTAGCGCGAAGATTCAACTTTATTTTTTAAAACGTGATTTTTAATATTGGTTACAAAAATATAATCAACTACTACAATTATATGTTATTGATCTTTCTGTTAAGAAACTGTCAAATGAAGTGTAAAATAGTCCACTCAGCTTTAAAGCTACGAACCAATATGAAAAAATTATTTGAGTTACAAAGCAAATAATTGCAAGAAAGTTTCAATACACACAAAAATTTCGATTTGCCAGTTTTTTGACTGTTTAACTGACAAATTACATGGTCCAACTGGAATTTTCCTTCACAGTAAAATAAAATAAAACAACGGGTGCCAAATAAGTTTTTAGTTTTAAAATACATAAGTTGATTTAAATATAACTGAGTCATATTTTTTGACAGTTTCAAAGTATATTTTGAAATTGATAATTGTCACATGTTTCGCAGACAAAGCTTGTTATTTTTTATAAGATAATGAAGTTAAACTTCGATTTATATCCAAGACGAGTTTATAAAACGGAGGCTTTAAAAGGACAAAACTTAAAACGAATAAAATGTTTTTGCAAATCTGTGTGAATAAAATTTTTAAAGTAAATAAATGCGAACTTCTAGTTTGTTATTTTGAACAATGTAATTTTATAAATTAATAATATCAATGTGTATTGTAAAAAAAACGAACAATTTTCAAAAAAAGTCACAAGGGATCATGTAAACTGATAGAAAATGTAAAAGTCAAATTTTGAGTGCACATTGACGTTAGTAAAGATAAATCAGTTAGGTTTTAATCAAGTTATTTTAAAATTATCTTCGAAGATTTTTAATTTTAATAAACGTGTTGCCTTACCCAGCATTTACACGTACAAGTTACTTGCAAGAAAGTTGCAATACATACAAAAATTTTACTAACACATTGAAATATTTCTACTTGCTTGTTTACTTGCAGTTCAACTTGCAAGAAAATTTTGCTGCCAGTAATTTGAGCAAGTAATTTGACATATTGAGAAATTCACAAAAAAAAATTTGTTGTTTTGATTTTTTTTTTTTTTAATTTAAAATTTTTGAATTTTGTTTTGAAAAAATTAAACTTAGCAAACTTATGGTTTCTAAAATTTATAAACAATTATATATATTGCTAGTTGTTTTCTTCTCAAAGACATTTTCAAAAATTAACTTGCTAAACGCCTACGTCATAATAGCAAGTAATTTGACATTTCGAACAACTAATTGACAATTAATATTATACAAACTTGCATGCAAGTAACTTGTATGTGTAAATGCTGGGTTAGCATCCACTGGCTTAGTATTTTCAAAGCATATTTACAATTGACATTTGTAGTTTTGACATAAACACATTAATTTAATTATTCATTAAAGGAGCAAAACAATTTCAAAATAATCGATGTATCGAAAAGAAAATAATCAACTTTAAAAATACAATTTTAAGCTGCAGTTAACACCAAAAAATTTAATAAAGCTTAAAAAATAATTTGGTAAAGTAAATTTATTTTTAATTTTAAGTATTAAGTTCAAAAATTTAATTTTACAACTAAAATGTAAATTATTTTGTTTGCAAAAATGACATAGATTTTTTATGAGATATTATGTAGACATCCAAAAGATGATATTTGACCAAAATACTCATTTAAAGCAACTGAACATAAAAAAAAAACAAAATTTAGTTTCAAAAATTTATTTTGGGAATTAAGTAAACTACACCAAAAGTATTTTATCATGTTAATCCGAATGCATATCGATCGACAAAATTTTCATTTCTGAAAAAATGTCGACTGAACGAATTCAGGTAAATTGTAATTTTATAGAAATCAACAGTAATGTGTACATTGTAATAAAATTACAGCGTTTTATAGGAATCTAAAGATTTCAAATTTATTAATGTACTTAATTTATATGTAACTGCTTACATATGGTTCATATGTGGGTTCTCAAGAATTAAAAATTTTTTTAAAAATGATATAATTATGTAGTACCTTGTTTTCGAATAACGAAATCCTGTCATCCCAAAATTGATGTTAGAACAAACGAAGATGTGAACGGTAAGTATGAAAATTTAATCAGAAATTTTTTATTCTACATATTTATTTTTAGTTTTAGTTTGCTTAATGCAGTCAAAAGTTGTCTCGAAATTTTTTTTTTCCATTTTCCTCTATTCGAAATTTTTATAAACGAAAATGCTAATTTGAAATTTTTTTTTTAAAAAATTAAAATTTTATTTATCTAATTTTTTTTTAGTGCTTTTGATATTATTTTTATAAATTTAAACTAATTTTTATGAGATGTAAAGTAGAAATCAAAAGATATTTTATTAAAAAAGAAAAAAAATTTTATTTAAAAAATATGTGGAATATATTTTTGAAATTTTTTTTACATATATAGAAGAAAAAAAAGAAAAAAATTTAGTACAGTAAGAAATGTCATATTTTTATTTTACAGGGGTCTATTTAGTGCCGTTTTAGATTTTAGTAGCTATTAAGATCTTAAAAAGTTGTTCATTTCGCAAAAAAATAAAAAAAATAATATTAGTTTCAATTTTATCTAAAAATTATGGGAAATCAACCAACTAGGCAAATATCTAATCAAACTGGAAAACAAAAAAAATATGTTCATTGGAAATCTGCAGGTAAATTAATTAAAAAAAAAATAAATAAATGTAAATATATAATTTTTTTTTCATTAATTCAATTATGATTTTTCGAGTTAAATAGTACCCTATTCGATATAAAAAAATCTGGATCTATTATTTCGTAAAGTAGAGAAAATTAGAAGCAAAAAAAAATTAAAATAAAATGTCTATTGCTATTTTTAGAACTTGAGACAAAATTCTTTTCAATAATAAATACGAGAAAAACCTCATATTTGAATAACACACCAATATATGTATATATATATATATATATATATATATATTTATAATGAACAATATATGCATCTATACCCACATAATAATACTGTTAATAAATAATATATTTAAAATTTTAAAAAATCAAAATTATAAATATAAAAATATTCTTCATATAAAAACTGTTATACATATTTGTTTCTTTTATTTTGTTATCAAAAATTTATTTTTGAAGGTTTTCAAAATATTTTTGTAAAATAAAAATTATTTTAAAAAATGCATTTAATAAGAAATATTTAATAAATTTACTAAATTTAGAGGAAAAAATAATTTTATAAATACATTCAATTTACTTATTTCATTTAAATTTTTAAATGAAATTAAACATAAAATTTTGAATGCATATTTAACGTATAGGTCAATTTTTGATTCTATTGTAATAAGACCCCCATATAAAACAGCGGGGCGGGTCTTGTTGTATGAGTAGCTATAAAAAGTTCGATATTATTATTGTAAATACAAACCAAATCATATGCAAATAATTAGTGACTATAATAAATTTTTTGAAACTTTTAACAGCTGTCTTTTAACGATTTGATGCTCCACAATGTGACCTAGCATATCATTTACAATTTGTTAATTAATAAATGAATTATAGATCAAAATATTTTATTAATTATTGAGAATGGATATTATAATCTCTGTACGAATAAGATATTAAATCATATTAAATAAGTTCTATTTTAAATTTAATTGCCATTCATTATTAACTAATTCTAAATTTCTATTAAATGTGTATGCGCATTTAGATCCCCTAATGCGTGCACATTTTTAAACATATTATTCATATCCCCTAATTTTAATATTCATCCTTAATTATAGTTAAGATTTAGTCATCTATAAATTCAAAATTATAATACAAAATAGTATGTATAACATTTTTATGTTTTTTCTGTATTATATGTAAAAATCTTTTTCAATCTTTGTAATATAAGTAAATGTAATATAAATCTTTCAAAATTTTAAAGTTTCATACATAGCTATTTGAATAATAGCCTATGTATGAAACTTCAAATAAAATTTTCATGTTTGTTAATTATTCTTCCAAATTTTGATATTTTTATATTTAAATAGAAAAACAAGTGTCTAAGATTATTAAATATAATATTGAAACGTAAATACATTACGTATATTTATTTATGTAAATACAGAATCATAGACGACATACAAATAAATATGAGTTTATTTATATACACTTGTTATATTATTTATTTTACATACATATGTATGTTGAAAAATTAAAAAAAAAATACAAAACAAAAATACTAAAAAACATCAAGAATTCATTGAGGAATTAAAAAAAGTTTTGTTGTAATAAGGTTGTTTATTAATTTAAATTTATAACAATTAAAATTTTTTTTTTAATTAGTTTATTGTAAATTGTTAAATTTGAAGAATTACAAAATTTTGTTTATTAAAAATAAATATAAAAAATAAGACTACTTTATAGTCGTTTTTAATTTTATTTTTCTTAATTTTGGTTTTTTTTGTATTAGTTTCTTCGAAATTAAGTCGAAAAATTATGTAAGAGTTGTTACTAATGTCAAATGCCAAATGAAATACTGTACATACAAGAACCAAAAATTTGAATAATTCTTTTAAAAAATACAAAAATTATGATGTTTTTAACAAATTGTTTGTTTTTGTGGGTGAGAATAAATTTAATATTTATAATTGTGTAAGTACTCGTATATTTAAAAAAATTATACTCTCTGAGATTATAATTTATATTTGACGTTAAAATATTATAAATATTAAACTGAAAGGCAATTAAAAAGTAAAGAAGAGAGGCACATATACACATACTCATTAACACATTTTCGAGAGTATAAGGTCATTTCAATGCAAAGTATAAGTCATTCATGTTTATAAAATTTAGAAAAATTAGGTTATTAAGAATATTAACAAAAGTTTTTCATATAATGAAATATAAAATAGTACACATGCAATAATATAACTAATATAACAATATTAATTTTTTAAATAAAGGTTAAATAAATTAATTGAATGTAGATTAATTAGACAAAATCAATTTTTTAAAATTGTGAATATATGTAGACCATAATACGGTTTTTAAAGTCTACATAAATATTTAATTATAGTTTCTTCAAAATTGGAGAAACTTATCAAGTTTTTAAAATTAGAAATAAAAGAAACATTTCTCTATACACAATTTTGACAACATACATATCAAAATTATTTATAAATATGTATAAAATTTTAATTTTATTTTTAGAGGTTCCTTCAGCGCCGGGTAGGCCAATATTGATTCCAGTTTCAGAACAACAACCAGATGCCATAACTTTACAATGGGATAAATCTCAGTCAGATGGAGGATCTCCTATTCTGGGATATGTAGTAGAACATCGTCGTGTTGGGGCAACAAATTGGACACGTTCCATTCCAATACTTATTGTAAAAACAGAAGCTGCAATAGTTGGTTTAGAACCAGGTTGGAAATATCAATTTCGTATAATTGCCGAAAATGTAGTTGGACGTTCACAGCCAAGTATTTTATCAGATCCTTTTCCAATATCATTGCAAATACGTAATACAAATACTCTACCAAAGTTCATAAACGAATTAAAGGATACAAATTCTATAGAAAATGAACGACTTGAAATGAAAGTTCGGGTTTTTGGAAATCCACAACCAGAAATAAGTTGGTTTAAAGATGGCTTCGAAATTTTTAGTAGCCGGAGAATAAAAATTTTAAATGAAAATGATTTCAGTTCGCTAATTATTCATCAGGTAGCTTTGACTGATGAAGGAGAAATAAAATGTACCGCAACAAATAGAGCTGGACATGTCGCAACAAAAGCAAAATTAATTGTAGAAGCTCCCCCTAAAATTCGTTTACCAAGAAACTATGAAGATGGTTTAATAATAGAAGAAGATGATACATTAAAGTTGAAAGCTGGCATAGCTGGGCAACCTTTCCCTGCCGTAATATGGTCCAGGGAAGGAAAAGTAATTTCGAATGGAAACAAATTCGAAATATCAATTACTGATAAACATACTCTTCTTAAAATTGGTAAAGTGAAAAGAATTGATCGGGGGGAATATAGTATACGTGCTATAAATAAGTTAGGGGAAGATATAGCTTCATTTTTAGTAACTGTAACTGCTAAACCTAGATCTCCTGGAAAAGTTAAAATAATGCAGTCAAATGATACTTCAGTCACCTTAGCGTGGACTGAACCAGAAGATGACGGTGGTTGCAAAATAGGTTCTTATATTGTTGAATATTTTCGTATTGGGTGGGATGTGTGGTTGAAAGCCACAACAACACGTCGTTTACAAACAACTCTAAATGATTTAATCGAAGGATCGGAATATAAGTTTCGTGTCAAAGCAGAAAATCCTTATGGCGTTAGTGAGCCAAGTCCTGAATCAGATATCTTATACATCAAGAATCTATCAACACAACAAGGGACAAAAGAAACTCCAAACACCAATTCAGAAAATATGAAATTAATTCCACCGCCAAAAGCAAGTAGAAAAGCAACTGAACAATCTAAAAGCCCAGTGAGAACAACTTCTCCTTCAATAAAACACAAAAGGCCTGAGATATTTGAAAGTGAACAGCTTAATATGGAAATGTCTTATGGTGCTCCTGCTAATGCGATTGAAAACTCTAGCTTAACGACATCCAAAGTTACGAAATCTAAAGAAGATCGAGCAACATCCCCAAAACCGATGTCTATTCTAAAACAGCGTAGCCCTATTCCAACTCCAAGAAAGAATAATAATAATTTAACTTTGGAAATGGACAAAAATCTTAGTTCTGAGAAGTTACAGCGTAGTCCAAGTCCTAAAATTGAAATTACAGTTCCTGATGAAAAACAAGATGCATCAGAGCAAAATTTACTTCAAACGGCAAAATCACAAGAGAAACAAATCTCACTTGACACTGTTCAAAAAGAAAATTTAATATCTTTAAATATTAGGCGCAGCATTAGTCCTAAAAAACCTTCTGAAAGCCAGCATGGAAAGGTTAGTCCATCATTTTTATCAGAAACGGATCAAAAAATTGCAGAGCGTCTTATGATTGAGCGTGAAAAGGAACTCGAAAAGGAACGTGAAAAAGAGATGAAATCTTATAAATACAAGAAGTTGTCTCCTGATATAGCTTTGAAACAAAACGGTAATGTTCTTCAAAAAACTGAGTCAGAAGTTGTTATGAAAAAATCTTTCGATTATTTATTTAATAAAATGAATAATATAGAAGAAAACAATCAAAGTGTGGAAAAAAATGAAACAGAAAGGTATGAAAAGACGGAACAATTGACGCAAATATTACACGAACCTATTAAAACTGACTTGCATGATCAACAACTATCTTCTGATGCAGAAGGAAAGCACAAGGACGAAGTGCATACTAGCAATGAGTACATGCTTGTATTTTATCCAGATGGCAGAAACAAGGAAATAGAAGGTAATATTTTATATATTAATATTATCCTTGTGAAATTATTTCATGATATATTTTAAGAGCCAGAATCAAGAAACTATTATGCTGCGGATAACCAAGGACCACCAGTTTTATCATATTCATTTCCAAATTTATCTACTTTAGATGAATTTTCTTTTCAAGCGAATATTCGGCGCTCTGCAAGTTCAACGGAATTATTATATGAAAAAGCAATGGCAAGATTCTATGAAGCCGTAGAAATGGAAGAAGAAAGGAAAGAGAAAAAGAAAGCAACTCACTTAGGTGAACATTTAACAGCACAGAAAAATACTCTTCAAAACTTAGATTCAATAGCTGAATCACAAGAAATTTCAAACTATAATCAAGAGCGCAAGCAAGAAATTGTGGATGATTCTAAAGTTTTACAAGAAAATAATAATTATTTAGCTCAAGATATATTTGAACAATATAAAAATTCGATTAATGTATCGGAAAATCGAAATACTGTGGAATCTACTCAACCTCAAAAAGAAATAGAACATATTCCACCTCCTATGGTTAGTCCAGTTAATAGACGTGACTTAACTGAAATGGTTGAAAATCAACATGTTATGAGTCCTGTTAATAATAGACAATTAAGACAGTATGAAGATTCTATGGATCTTGTTGATGAAGATAATTTGGAAGCTTATGATAACTCATATAAACACTTTTCAGATGCAGAAGTTAGAGAAAATACTCTTAAAAACTCTCTTTTTGACGATGAAAAAGATCTGGGTTTAGAATATGGGTCAGATTACACTGACAGCACAGCTTCGGAATCGGAAAGTTCTATGGAATATTTTAAACGAGAAGTAATTACGCGATCAAGTTCAGGTGGAATTGGTAGAAAAAAGGTTACACTTTCACCAGTGCGGTATGAATCATCCGAAGATGATACATTTAGTCATAAATCCAATTTAACATCTGTTCCAGCACCAAAATCTATCTTGAAAAAACCTCAAAGTAATGAAAACGTTGTTAATCCTGTACTGAAAACTAATGTTAGGCCTCTCTCTGACTTTAATACGAATGAAGAGCCTCAAATTGTTACAGAGCCAAAACAAAATATGGTTTTGAATTTAAATTTTGTAAATGTTGACTCAACCGCTCATATAATAACCAACACTGACCAAATTCCGAAGCAAGCTATCATTTCAAATTCCACTTCAAATCCAAACATTAATCTTGATTCCCCTAAATTAAGTCAAAATATTGATCAAAACCAAAAATTAATTGATAATGAAAGTTCTTATCCAAATCCAAATTCAAATCCAAAAGAAACTTCAAATAATTATCAAAATCCTAAAATTAGTTCTAAGAACAATCCTAATCCTAATTACAGTGGAAATCTTAATCTCAGTCCGAATCCAAAATTAAAATCTAGTTCAAATCCAAATGAAAGCAAGTATCTAAACCCAGATGATGGTCGTAGAAAAAGTGAGGATTTAAGAGAAAATCCGAAGTTAAGTCCTCTTAGTAAAGCAAAATCAATCTCCGATAGAAAACTCAAGGGTTTAAAATCGTTCTTAACAGGTGGTAGAAGTAAGTCATCAAAAGAGAAAAATCAATCTCTAGAGAAAATTGAACCTTCAAAGTCCGATATTCCACAAGTTAAAACAACTCCTCCAAAGCCTACAGAACCAATCAAGGATGAAAAGAAAGAGGTTAAAGTCGAACCCGACGAGGGCGCAAGAGTTATAGTAGACTATTATAGCAATATAGTCCAAGAGCTTGGTCATTCTAAATATAAAACTCCATTGTATTTGAATACAGATGAACTGAAAAAACAATCTGAAAGAGCTGATATAGAAGAGTCTGTATTTAGACGTAATAGCGAAATCGATGCAGAAGAAGATTTACTTTTGCTACAACATAAAACTAAACCACGTATGTCGATTGTTGAAAGAATGCAAGCAAAACATGTTCGTCCAGAGAAAAGTTCACACTGTATTGAAAATACAATTGCTATTTCAGCACCGCCTGTTCCTGATACACCTGAAGTAGAGGCTCCCAGTAAACCAAACGATATGGATTTACCAACACCTACAAGTTCAACTGGAAAGAAAATTATTAAAACTAAAAAGATTATAAAAAGAACTGCACGTTCAAAATCACGTGATCCTTCAAAAACCAGAGGAACTGGTACTATAATATCGAATGCTCCTCCTTCAATATTAATAAATGAAACTGAATTAGAAAGACTTCACTCATTACATAAAAATGCAAGTGGTATTGAAAATGAAGAAGAGGAAAATTCTTTATTAAAGCATTATATGAAATCTGATGAAAAAGAAAATGAGAATAAAAAAGAAATTGTTCAATATGATGTAGATGATGTAAATGCTGAAGCACAAGATAATGTTCATTCAGCTATTAGTTATGTAACTGATTTAGGTTTATTTGTTTTCGCTTGTTGGGTATATTTATTCAAAGATGCCTATATGGTTTTACCAATATTAGCATTGATGGTATATAGAAGAATCGGAGAAGCTATTAGTAGAAATTTACCAAGTTTTTTAAAAAAGAAACCATGCTGATAATGTATTAAAACATTTGTTTTTCTTGTTTTTGTTTTTTTTTCTTAGTAAATAATAAATTAATGAGCGTCTCTACCTAAATGAATATTTTACATTGACTTGGTTAATTTAGGACTACAATTTTAATTGTTGAATATATTAAATTGACATTTGATTAACATTTAGGTGTTTACGCTATGATTTTGTTTTTAATTCTAAATAATAAGAGAAAGATTTAGAGAAGGAATGATGCATTAATTATTGAAATAAGACTCTATTATCAAATTATAAACAAAATTGTAAAGTACATACATTAGTATGATGAACGGTATGTACCCATTAATTTCAAATATCGACTCTAATGTGAAAACTTTTATTTTTATTTGTACAAAAAATTTTAAATTTGACTAAATAAATACATAATTACTTTTTCTTACTTCTAAAAGAGTTAAAAAATCTTTACAGTCTACTTAATAAATTGAAAAAAAAAAAGTTGTAATTCGTAATTTTATATTTAGAATTGTCTATTTAATAAAAACCAATAGTATTAATTTTCGAGATTCTCTATAATTAAATTAAAATAATAATAATAAGGCTATGGCGAAAATCAACATTATCAGTTATATTTTGTTATAAAGAAAAAAAGATATTAAAAATTTTATTTTACCAATTTGAAATTTATATAAATTTAAATGTTATATAAAACATTCAACAATAAAAAGAAAATTATAAAAATTACTGCATTGAATCAAAATAAAACATAAAAAATTATTAAATACGAAACTGTAATTCATTTGGCTTAATCCCATTTCAATGAAATAAGAAATGAGTTTGAATATTGCACAAAAAAAAACAATTCATTTTTATTTCATAAAGTATGGATTACAGGATTTGCAGGGGTTTTATTATGTAATTCGATTTTTGTAAAATGAATTTGGTATTTACAGAAATGGAATAAGTAGTACTATATAATGGTGGTACCATACCATTTTTTCGAGCACGAAAATCGTTTGACGAAAATCGAATTACATAATAAAACCCCTGCAAATCCTGCAAAGGTCCCTGTTGAAAAAAAAGTAAAGAAAAATAAATAATGAAAATTAAATATTAAAATCCCAATTTATTTATTTTTTATTTAGACTTATTTCGAATGTTATTTATTGAATATCAAATAATTTCTTAATTGAAATATGTAGTTTTATTTTCATATTATATAATTTTAACCATTATAGAATGCAATATGGTTGCAAACAAAATATTCTATAATCATTCGAGACTTTAAAATCGTATTAATCATATATTGCTACATAATTCTGCAGTTGAAGTCTTTAATCTAAACTATATTTAAATCTATTATGATTTTCCAATTTTGAAGTTTTTCTGATTCAACTACCTAGTGCATGACATCAAAATTGCAGTGTTGCTAATGTGTTGCTAATGTGTAATTTATTAAATTGAATTGTTTACTCATACGTCAATTTAGAAGTCAAGGTACATACTTCAAAAAAAAATTTAAATTATATTTGATCTTCGATATTGTAACATTCGATATAAATCTATTATTAATTTAATTTGAATTAAACGACTTGTATATTTTAAAATAATATTTATATTGTAAAGTAATTACATAATCTATAAGGAATACCTAGTTCTATTATAATTTAAAATTAAAAAAAAAAATTATGTATTTATTTTTTTTTGAATATGTTTTGATTTTTTTTTTAATATTATGTCTCTTGTAGACTACAATATAAAAATCTTTAATAAAATTTATTTGATAAAATCTATACTATAATTTATTTCATAAAATATCTTTTAATAATTTTGTGTTAACTATTTAATTACTTATTATTATATTAAATGGAATGTTTAAATTTTTAAAAATTGTACAAGTAGCCTTTGTATTTAATTTAAAATTTTTGTATGTATTTTATTATTAATTAGCGCAGTAGAATTAAAAACAGATTTTTTTCTTTATTTACTACAATTGCATATTTTTAAATTTATGATAATAGGCTGCATTGGTTTTAAAATTTGTATGCCTGCAATATAGAACTCAGGAGTAGAAAAATATTCTAAAGAAATAGAACAAATATGTTGGTGGATTTAACATATGTGTGTATGTATATATGTACATACATATGTACATATGTAAAAAAATTTTGACAATCGTATATTTAGTTTCATAAACCGATTTTAAGAATGGCCAAATGTACTTGAATTTTAAAGTAAAATTGTTACTTATATACAATATATATACATACATATTTTAAGTTAAATCCGAAACGAATTTTGCTTAAAAAAAAATTATTAAAAAAACAATGGCTACTTAATATTATAGTAAATATTTCAGAAGTATAATTAAATTAGTAAATTATAATTATTAAAGTAAAAAAAAAATAATTATTTATAGTGAAGTATGGCCGTCTACTAAAATACAGATATAACGTTAAATTGACATATACAACAATTATAACAGTATTGTGGATTAAGTGAATTTGACGTTAGATCTTCATTTCGGTAGACGCCCTATGAAGAGAACTACCAAAAATACAGAACTAATGTCAATTTAATTTATAAAGCAGAAAAAAAAATTTTTAATTGCTGAATAAGTTAAATTGACATCAAAGGGAAATTTTGATATTAATTTGACATTTCCCCCTGTAATAGGTATTCAAAAATACAATCAAAATATAATTATATTTAATATTAAAAAAAATTATTGAATATAAATTAAATTAAACGAGAAATTGGTTTTTAAAAGAATTTTTAATAAATAATAATTTTAAAGAAAATTTTAGTAATTAAGATTTATAAAATATTTTAAAAGAAAAATATAAATAATAGAAATTATTAAAATATACGTAAAAAATTTTTAAAACAATTCAAAAATCAATGAAAAAATTTCGGCATTTTGATGTAATTTTGTTTTAAAATTGATTAAATTTTTGGTTTTCTTAGTTTTTTTTTTTTTTTAATTTAATTGATATGATAATTTTCAAAATAAAATAAAAAAATTAATTTATTGTTGATAGTTTTTTTTTTCTCTTTTTTTTTCTATACTGAAATAAAATGATAAAAAAAGTATCAAATTTTGTGTTTTCTTATTGCTAATTCCTTAATTTGTAATTAAAATGCCGGAAATTTATTCGTTATGTAAAAAAAAAAATTCTATACAAAATGAAAATTATAGAAACTATAAAATAGATTCCCCAAAATTCAAGAACAAATTGACATTACGAATGAGTCTATGTATTGAAATTTTACAGTTATTGGGAATATTAACATCAAAGTTTATCACTCAGTTCAGTAAACATAAAATTTATTTAATTTCATTTTAATTAAGATTAACATTTTAAATATTGTTTATCTGTTTTGTGACTTGTCGGCTCCTCATTTAATTATTTATAATAGTTTCATTTTATGCAAAATAATGTTCAATTTACAAAGGGTCCCAACCCGCAGGTAAAGGGAAATATTGCGAAACTACATGCTCACTCCGGCAGAGCGGCGGTCTATGGAGCCTTTAAAGTTACTCGAATTCATCAGGAAGGTAGGTCTCGAAGTGGTGTTGGGGCACCTATTTGGGGGGTACAATATATTTTTCTAAGCTGATCGCATTGCACTGTTACCCCTACTTTGCAATCTACAATCAACAAAGTTACTCTAAACTGAAAAACAAGGGAAATCAAAATATGCGTTTGGTTTTGCCGTCAGAATTTTTTATTTTAATAATAGGCTCTTTATTAAAAAAGTTTACTTATTTAAGACAAACAACAACAAATATACAGAAATTGTCAATGTTCAATTACAAAATTCCTACCGAGGGAGCCGCCATGTAGAAAATTAACCTCAAGGTTTCCCATTTTCGAGCTTCATGTTTCTCAATATTTTTTTTTGTTTGTTTGTTTCGAAATTTACTTGGAGAGAAGCTGCTTTTAAAAATATTTGCAAGCGTTTATAATTTATAAAAATATTAATAATAAAGCGCACTAAAAAAAAACACTAATTTTCCTCATAGCCATACATTAATGTGCAAAACCATTTTTTTCAAATGAACTTTCTCTAAGTTTAGAGTCAAAAATGAAACGTTTTTCGGAACAAGTTTAATCTCAAAGTTTTTGTGTTTAAAAGCACCTTTATAGATATTTTTATATAGTTAATTTTTATCGTATTACACGAATATGATTTGCAACACTTACAACTAATATAACAAAAAAAAAATAACAAATGAAAATATTATGCACTCACCCCTATACTGACGAAGATTTATATAGCATCACATTGTATCACCACTAGGCTGACATATAACGTAATTATGTTTGGAGACAAAATATGATACGAAACTATTAAATTGGTTAGTATTCATTGTTTAACATTAAAACCAACATATACTGTCAGTATCGACATTTCTTTCTCATAATTATGATGCGACTATCATAGGGACGACTGTTTTTCAAAACTAGTAGACAATGTTAAATTTTAATTACTTCTCTCTACTAGATCTATAGATTCTTTCTACTATTTTGTATTACATTGTTCTTAAGAGAGCCAATTAAAAGTTTTTAATTTTTTAAAAATAGTTTAATTTTTGCTTCTACTTTTACAATATTATTTTGCACCTCCAACTTTAAAATTCATTTCAATTTCTTTGTTACATTTCAGATGTCTAAAAACTAGTTAAATAAAATTGATAGTCTAAATCTTATCAACTTAAAAATTTTTATTCCTTTTTCAATTAAAAAAAAATAAATGGAAAACAAAACTAGTTTTTGATAAAAAACAAAAAATAAAAAAAAAACGAGTTAGTGTTGTAATTTAAATTTGTTTTGATTTTATTTTAAACTATTCTTATTACCTTTTTTGGACCTCATCTTTTGCTGCATCGCGAATTTTTTCTTTTTATAACAAGGCAGTGAAGACAAAAATATCCTTGTTCTAGAAAATTTTTTAGTTTTTTACATTTTGGTTTCTCCTTGTTAATGCATAAAAAAGTGAATCTTCTTTTATTTATTGTTGAATTAAAAAACTAGACTTGAAAACTCTATATTAATTGAAACCTGTTCTGGTGGGTACCAATAAATGAACTGAAGGAAAAAATAAAATAAAATTTGCAAATTTGTTTTCATGATTTTGGGTAATCATGTAAAGAAATGTTTTGTCTTTAAAATATTTTTTTTGATACAAAAATTTCAATTTTTTTTTAATGAGACTGTAGATGCTTTGGATCCTTGAATGTAGCTTTTTTGTTTGTATTAGTCTTTGAATGAGAAACTTAGCAAATCAAGCCTTTAAAAATTTCTTTAAAGGTGTGAAAAGAAAACTTCCTTTTATTCGGAATAAAATACTTTTATTTTTCGCTAATATATTTCGTGCGCTACATACGCACTTTATCAAAGCTGATTTTCTTCTTTAAAGGCTTTATTCATAATTAATCGAAAATTTACAAATTATTTGTGCTTTAATACTTTTATTAACTCACTAATTTCGATAAACTTACAACTTTTGCAATTTTCGGAATACTTTCGGAATAACCAGAAAAATAAATTTCAACAAGTATCTACATTAACAATTTATTTATAAGATTGCCCCATTTTTTTTATTACAATTTTTATTATATAAAAAAATTTTGTTTTGTAATTTTGTTACATTTTCTAGTCATACTCGTATAATGCACGCATTTGATGCACCTTTCATTAAATTAAGTTCATTTTCTATGTGGCAGCGGTCAAGGTTAAAATATAATATTAATTCTTATTACCAATTGGATGTTGCATCTTTATAGATGCACAAAGACAGAAACAAAAAATTATCCTTTTATAAAGCAACTGACAACATCATATTAAATTCATTCTTGAAGTGGTGCTTGAAAAGTAAAGTTCTCTGATCTAGAAAAAAAAAAACAAAATAAGAAAAAGAAACTTACAAAACAAAACTATTGATTCAAAAGTGCAATATTTTAAATTTACAAAAAAAAAAAAAAAAATTGTGATACTTCAAGTATAATTTCGAATTGTAAAAGGTTAAAATTTTTATTTCTCAAATATTTTTTCACAAATTTTATTAAAATTTTCAATTTTCCATTTTTATTCTTTTATTTAATATATGTAGATGTTTCCGAAATTCATTATAATATTAGGCTATTTTATAAGTTCAGCATTTACAGCACCAGCTACAGTATTACAACAGCCACTTTTACTTCAATCACCACAATTATTAAGAATCGCTCCGGATTTAGCAATTGTTGATAGACCCTTACCATATTCATTTTATCAAACGTATCCATATGGAAATGTTTATTTATTACGACAACAAGGTATAGGTGATGGCGGACAATTTGCTGATCAGGTTCAAGATTATTTTGGAATGTTTGGCGGTCAATTAATGGAATTCCAAAATCAAACATCTGGAATTTTTCAAGATGTCCAAAGTAATATACAAAGTTCATTTGGTCAAGGTTTTGAATTAGTATCACAAGGTTTTGAACAAGGATTTGATCAAGTAAGTCAAGGTTGGGGTGATTTACAACAACAATGGGGTGGTGGGCTCATCAAAACTAATAATCAATTAATGTCATCGAATAGTGTTAATGATGGATTAAGATCAGATAAAAATGAAAATGATAAAGCACAACCCATGAAACAAGCACAACCTAATTTACTTTATAAACCAATAGCATTAAAATATTCTTCAACCAGATTTATACCACTCAATTTAGTTCGTTATAATTTAATTCCATTGAATTATTTGCAACAACCATTAAAACAACAAGAAAAAGAACAATTACAGCAACCACCATTACAAGGTCGTGCAAGTGATGAAAAATCAGAAAAAGGTATTTAATTAAAGAAATTGCTTAAAAACAAAGTAAACATATTGAAAAAAAATTTAATTCTTATTTAACAGAAGAACCAGCAAAAGCAGGTGAATCATCTCAATAAAATCATTAATATTTTTGATGGACATCTGGCAAACAAACGTGTAGGAAAACTCGCAATTGGATTAGATCGCTAAAATGAAATTTATAAAATTTCAGTGTTGTAATTTTAGGATTATAATAAAAATTCAAAATGAAAACAAATAAATAAGTATTTTATTCCTCCATTAGCATTAAGAAATTGCAAAAAAACTGAGATTATGGCAACCCATATGTTAAAGAATCTCCTTAATTACCTAACATCTCGTAATGTTGGAAACAACGTGAAATTTCTTTAAAATAATATCAAATATCACAGAATTTTTTTGATTTTAAATTTGTTGTATCTTTAAAGGTTTTCGGAAAATCTTTTTCCCAATAGAATTTCCAATAGGAAGTTAAAAATGTTCATATGAATTTCATTTAGCAAATGGACCGCAAATAAATAATTTTTGCATTTTCTTGTGGTACAACTTAACCACATCCTATCTACAGTCAATCATATAGTAAGAGTTTTAATTATTTTTCTAAAATATTAAAATATAAAATATTATAAAACAGATTTTTTTTTGTTTAACAAAATTCAACTATATACTTTTTTTTTATATATACATACATACATTAAGTCTATATTTATTTACACAAAACATCAGATCGACATGAATTTAAACAACAATATGTAATTTGTGTAATAATTTGAGCTCTTTTATCACGATATAAATTTTTTGATACTGATTTTGGTATTTTTGATGAATATGATGATTTATGTGATGATGTAGCCCCCGATGATGATGATGATGATGATGATGAAGATGATCCCGATGATGATGTATAATTAAAATATAATTCGGATGTTGGATCTAAAATTTCATTTTCAATTTGAGGATCATTGTAATATTCATAATTTGGTATTTTCATTTTTGAAAATTTCTTATCCAATAAAATGTAGCCAAATTTTGGATAATCTTCTTTACATAATTGAATTCTATTTTTTTCATATGCCTTATGATAACCTAAAATTAAAATAAAAATAAAAAAATTAAATGAAATAATATTAAATATTTAGAAAGTGTGGATTTGTTTGCGAATTATGGCAAATTTCCGCGTCGGTAAAGCCTTTCATGGAAAATATATTAAAAGACTTAAGTGAGAAACTTAATAATAATGTACTGCTGTACTTTTATAATTACAAATTGGAAGAATTCTAATATTATTTAAACATAAAATTTAAATTATTTATTATTTAAATAAGAAGCTTTAAAAATTAATTTTATTGCTTACTTTTTATATGACATTTAGTTGTAAAATGCTTAAAACGCTTATGTTTGTTATAATAATAATCGTTATATTTTTGTTTAATTGGTGAATGTCTTTTAGTAATTGGCTCTCTAAATATACTTTCACATGCTTCTGATGCCAACAGTTTCATATCATCCAATTTACAAGTGTATTTTGGTTGGAAAAATTTAGATAACATTATAAAAACGATTAAAATGGTTTCAAACTGAAAAAAAAGCAAAATAAAAAAAAAGGTTAATTATTATGAATAAAGCTATAAGAAATTAAATTGGCAATTCCTGCTTAAAAATATTTGCTACAAATTGAAGTAAAATGAATAATTCCAAAAATTTGTTCTAATGTTTGTATAATGTCGAAATTTTGTATGCTATTCAGGAGAATCACACAAATAGTTATTTATTTTCTCAATCATAACAAGAGATTGGCTCTTTTTATATATTGGTAAAATAAAGTTCATTAGGCACACAAGACACACACTTCATAGGGATGTGCAAACCTACGTTGAAGTTTTAGCAATTTTAGTGAAAACGAAATGTATTTGACGAAGAGTTGCCACACATGAAATTCTCTCAGGTTAGTCTTATTTTTTACACGTTATTGTAAGTTGTGAAAATATACATATCAATAATTTTGAATCTCCAACCTTCATTTCTCAATTTCCACTCTCTTTTTCTATTTATTAAATGTATTAATTAAAATAATAAGTGAAAAAAGTTACACTAAATATATAGGATCTTTTATAGAGATTATTTAATGCATTATGTATACAGGGTGATTGAGCAAAAAGTTTAGCAAAATAACGATTCATAAAAATTGATTTTTAAAATCCTAAAATACATAATGGTTTCTTTTGTCATATTTTCTGTACCATAAAGGTGAAAAAGGAAAAATTCTGTAAAAAGCATGCTAGAAGTTCCAAAAAATTTTGCAATAAAATGTAAGTGCAAAAAAAAGTGAAAAAATAAATAATGAAGAAAATTTTAATATTCCTAAAGTTCGATTGCTTGTATTTCCAAAAAAAAGCATGTAAAACGAAGTAATCCGCAATTCTTTATTTTAAAACTCTAATAGCCCTTTCAGAATTTGATTGTTTGAAGCTTCTATCTTTTTTGGAACGGAAGTTATAAACAAAGAATTTTAGGTAGGTTAAAATTTCGTTTTCTTAAAAACGAAATTTTTGTAGCTTGAAAACGGTTTCGATTTGAGAAAAACTTTCCAACAAACATGTGACCCGTAACTTGCTGCTGAGCCACCCTATATATATTACATATTCATATGAATGTGTATTAAAAAACTACAGTCAGCCGCCTTTAACAAAATTTTCGATTATTTTTTTATTCTTAAATACAATCGGCTTAGATATTTCACCTTTCTTCATTTTCTTTCTTTAGTGAGATCATTTAAATTTGGAATTTATTTATAGGTTACTGGAACATTTTTCATATATGTATGTATATGTTTGTGAATATGTCGATACAATATATGTAACATGAGAATCTCTTTCATAAAGCTCAATATTCTTAGTAATTTTCATTAGAATCGTTTTCTTTTTTTTTTGTTTATTTTTTTAATTTTTACTACTAAATTTGAAATTTACGTGATGTTTTTAACTTTTAATTTTCCGCATATTTTAATAAATTTTTTTGTATATTTTTAATATTTTATTGGAAAATTTTCAATAATAATGAATAATTTAAATTTGTACATAATTAAATGTATATATATATACATACATATGTATATGCATAAGTACGTGACAAAATTCAAATTGATTTTGTTTTTTATTTTTTATTTTTATCATTCGAACAGTAAGACGTGATTCAATAAATTGTATCAAAAGTTCAAGAGAACAGAAAGAGAAAAGTGCGACGTAATATTAATTGTAATTTAATAAAGAATGTCTGTTACCTGTCTACTTATACATACATATATACATGAGAATGTACATATGTACATTGTATATAATATAAACTTTCATTCGCACTTTTTTAATGTTAATGAACTTGATGAATTAAAACCAATTGTTACATAATTGTTATATGAAATGCAATTATATATACAGAATATGCATATGTATGTATATTATTACGTTACGAATTGTCATAAATAGAAATTTTATCCACTTATTTATTACATACATATGTATGTATTATATTATTAAATATACTATTTGTATTCATTGCAGTTTTAAATTGAAATTTAAATAAAAAGAAAGGAAATCAAAGTTCGCTTATCAAAATGCGGGCCTAACTGGTAAATTTTTGGTTAATTCGGTAATGCAATTGGCTATAATTAGCAATGCAATTTTAATTGCTAAATAAACTCAAATCGATATTGTACTTGAATGTGTCAAATATTAAATAATAGAAAATCCATCGCGTAAATTCCAAAAATAGAACACTTCATGACTAAGTAGCTAAATATACATATGTTTAAAATAAAACTGTTCTATTAATATGGTTGCAAGTTAATAGAACTTCTAATTAATAACACACTACAAAAGCACTCCTGGTAGTGGTATCCATATATAAATACTATATTCTCTCTCCAATTATCATTAATAGCTCAAAATTTACGATTTAATTTCGAGTTATTACTGTAGTGTATTCTCAACACTCTTATGCACTTTTATATAATATAAAGCACAAAATGTATGTTTTCAAAGTCATGACTCATGATGTAATTCAAATATACAAAATATAGTGTTTAATATAAATGCAAATCATGTATATACAATATATTTAAATGCAGTTTTGAATTATAATTATGAAATAATTTCAGATACCGTTAAAATAATTTTTATACACACACAATTTTATTATTAATTACACAGTGTACCTGATGTACGTACATAAAATATGTTAACCTTAACATTTTGTCAATATTCACCTTGTAAATATCATTAAACTTTTAATTTTAATATTATAAATTAATAATAAATATATTTATTTTGTTTTGTTTTTTGTTAAATTGCAAGGAAATTCAAAGGTGAGGAATTAAATTTAATTTTACCCTTCAAATTTTACAATCATATTTAAAATAATTTTAACACATGTGTTATTTGTTAATTGATTTAAATACTTCAATTTGTATAAATTCAGAGTCATATTATAAAATTTATAACGTAAATGGCATACGCACACAAAGTTGAACCGTTGAATTTCCAATGTTAAACTACACTCAAAAAACTGGTCACTATTTTGGTAACATAAAATATTACTACAATTGTAGTAATAATATCTGAAATAGGTAAAAAAAACACAAAATTAGCAATGTTTTTGCATTCATAAACAAAGCTGATTTGTGACATATAAAATGTAGCTAGATTTTATCTAATGTAGATAATTGACCTTGTGGGATTCTTCATGTGTACATGATAAACAAAACATTTCTAAAATTGCAGCATATAACATTGAAAATTTAGCTAAAAATTATGACTGTTTTTGCAACAGAAAATATTCACTTACAACTCTCACTGACCAAAAAAAAAAAAATAGGAACTAATGTTAAAAATGCAGTGCAATAAAACATGACACAAAATGTTTATTAGTTCGCACTAGCCCGATTTCTATCAGTTCTTATCACTATAAAACCTTGTAAAATTCTGGCAGATGTTATAATATTTTTTTTTGAGTGTATAATAATAAACGCGTATTTATTTGCTCAACATACATAATATGAAATGGTTGATTTAAAATATTTCATGCCAAAGTAAATTTGGCATGTTTCCGAAAGAATTTAACAATTTCAATTTATCAAACGTATTTCTAATT